ACTATGACATGTGTGAACATAGCCATTGATGGTAATGCAATACTCTCCATCATCACCTTCATGAACATGTAATCAGACATGAGTGGTTTATGAACAGAGGGGCATTGACACCAGGCTTCAGTCACAGACAGACAGCACACAATGTTACTCAAGGTGGCTAGGTATCATGATGTATGATCCATATGTGTATGTGATATTGGGAGAAAAGAAGGACCCAATTTGATTGACTTGTGATCATGAAACTTTGAAAGAGGTCATCTAGAAATGATGTGCAGTTGTATTTATATCAAGTATTTTTGAGGTGTGTAGGTTGCCAGGCTCATATTACACACATGTTTTATGAAGGAGGATTTTTTTGTTTTAACACATTTGGCCCATTATGTCGTATTAGATTTTTATAGAATTAGCCTGTTTTGTTGTTGTTAGGTTTTTTTTGGTTGCTGTTTTCACTGAAAAGAGGGGTTAGGTATATGACAGATCTTCCATTATTTTATGAGTGTAGGCCTACCGGTATATAATATTTGATGCATAGCAATATTGGACTCTGGGAGTATAATCTGTGTCCCACTTGTTTTTCCTCATCGCCCCCTACCCTACATCACTTCTAAACTACAGGTTTGTGATTTACCTTTGAACTGGAAACCCATATATTACCACCACTGTCTCATTCATACCAAACCACAGACCGACCATACCAGTGGTTACTTACCCCAGCCAGCCAGCCAGGCAGGGTGGGGAATGATTCGCAGGCAGGCAGCTAGGCAGGGCATTGACTCCTAATGTTGGTCGGTGTTAATGTATCAGTGGTCAATGCACTTCCAGGGCTTTGTCCTCCCTCCACATAGAGGGCCTCCTGATACATCCATGTTTCGTTCTTGACAGGGGTAATGGAGCTGGCCCTCATCAGTCGAAGATTAATGTGATATATACACTGACATATTCTGGATATGTAGGTTATGGAATAGAGCTGTTAATACTGTGTGCTCAGTCATCCCCATTAGCCAGTCTCAGCTCAGTCAGATATCATGTGTATATATTCAATTTCATGTACATGCACCAGCTGGGTCACATTAATGTGGCTGAACGCTGTCATTAGTATCAATTAGGCCTGTATTATTTGTATCATTCTGTGTTTTTAAGCATAAATTGCAGGCCTATTTTTTCCAACACAAAATCTCATAAATTTATAGGCTGGCTTTGATCTTTACATAAAATTTGAATTACTTTGTTGTCTAGATACATTCTAAAGCTCTATAGTATTAAGCTCAAATCATGTGTATCAATCAACCATGCTTGGGCATGAAAAAGTCCAGACAACTTCATAACTGGATGCAGGTCATGCATCATATGGCAGATACCCAATGATAATTAACTTTGCATAATTAATACATAGTTCCGGACTTCCGGTATTTCTAATTGATTGGCTTATAATTGTAATGAATATAGATGGAGAGAGGAAGAGATGACAGTGTTGCCAAAGCCTGAGCATGGACATTGATCTTCTCGAAGCGTAGGACACATCCAGGGGACATTACAGGCATGGAAGGCAACGTGCTTCATTCAACATTTCTGTTTGCAACTTTAAATATTTAACACCTTGTTGGGAAGGATAGGTAGACAACAAAATTAGGCTAACCTCGTTGGCCAATTTTTAGTTACCTCTTACTGATCCTATGAGCTTGAGTTTGTGTTGAGGGTACCATTTCACCTGTTGGAGGTTTTTTGAAATACTTCATATTCCATGTAGTAACATAATTTGCATTGTGTCCTACCTGTTCATTTAATGGCATGCCTTCATGTACCTATCGAGGCCTACAAGGTAGCTACAGCTTTGAACCATGTAAAAATCTATGTCCCACTAGAGACAACAAGGAGGCTTGCTAAATATAACCCATTACACGAAGCGCGGCTAAACAAATCTTTCCTTTAACATGTGTGACACATCTAGACTATAAAGACAATGTCTTTTACATTAATGTCAGTCCAGGGCGTTGGCCTCTAGCGGTGTCGTTGCATTTTTGGTTGACTAAGCCGCTTCCATCATTCACTAATTACCTTTCGCTGTACTGTGTAGCAGACTTAGGTGGAAATACAACCAGTGCATGACAAGACAGAGAAAGTTCCCGTCTCCATTTTGTGTCTTCATCGTTTCATCTTCAGCCTTATGTTTACATTGCTTGACCCGCTCTCTCAACACATATTTATTTTGTCTGTGGCACATGTATTGTTATAAGAGCATGGGAGAAAGGAAGAGAAAGAGAGAGAGAGAGAGAGATAGAGATAGAGATAGAGATAGAGATAGAGATAGAGATAGAGATAGAGATAGAGATAGAGATAGAGATAGAGATAGAGATAGAGATAGAGATAGAGATAGAGATAGAGATAGAGATAGAGATAGAGATAGAGATAGAGATAGAGATAGAGATAGAGATAGAGATAGAGATAGAGATAGAGAAAGAGATAGAGATAGAGATAGAGATAGAGATAGAGATAGAGATAGAGATAGAGATAGAGAGAGACAGAGACATAGAGAGAGCGAGAGACATAGAGAGAGACAGAGATAGATAGAGAAAGAGAGACAGAGAAAGAGGGGGATGAGAGGGAGACGAAATGAGAAAGGGAGAGAGACCGATGAGAGGTATTGTACATTTAAGCTGTTCAGATGAGACTATGTTCTTGTCCTTCAAATTCCATACACTACGTTTAAATGTGTTTCATTTATTAATAGTAAGTAGGCCTTACAGTTTTATTTCAATTTCAATTTTGGTGAAATATTTAATAATCAAACTTTAATCTTAGGATTTAGAAAATGATATTATTGCTCAATATTTTCAACACAAAACTTAAATATGCCTTCATGGCGGTAAAACATGAATACAATTTAGTAAGAAGAAAACATTTTGTTAAATGCACAACTATTTATGCACTGTATAAACTAACCAATTTTTAGAAAAATTATTCTTTTCATTTTTTTGTCAAATTGTGTGTGTTTAGCACCAGCAAAACCTTTTGTTCCCCATTTTTTAAAATGGAATACATCCTTTATACTGAGCTTTTCACCCTCTCTCTCTCTCTCTCTCTTTGACTACCCTTTGTCAATCTCCCCTTTTTTCCTCATTAAAGGGGAAGTCCATCCTGATAGTAATTTTGTTTTAATAGAAGCAGACAATTTAGATGAATATGTTAGTAAAAGTTTGAGCAAAATATGATTAAAAATAAGAAAGTTATGAATTTTTGAAGTACGGTTCCCTCCTAATTGCTCTGTATTTAAAAAATTAAAAAATCAGAAATGTATATTGTTTCCCTAAGAAAATTTCCAAATCATACATGCAATTATTACGTAGAGTTATTGCAAATATGCTTTCAAACAACCCCTGTATGAAACATATCCATTCTATCATTAATAAGCCATGAAGCCATGGATATTCTGTTGTTCTTGGCCATGCATGGTACCATACATGAATTTATTAATGAGATACATAAAAGAATCAATCCATCTCTATTTCTGTAGGTGTTTTCATACCCTTCTGATGTAGAAAAGTATGCATAATTATGATCAGGGGAGTATTAAGTCTAATAAAACTTTAATTTCAACCATTGTCAATAACTGCATTTGATGATCAGAGTATTTTGCTCAAATCGCATCTGTTAAAAAAAACTTGTCAGTGTTTGAGAGCTCCTTAGGTGTCTCTCTTTCAATATGAATGCAAAATAAAAAGTGTTGTTGAGAAGAGATGTGAAACAGTAGATGAGCTTTAAAATGTCCCTGGAAAAAACTGTCTGTTCGATGGTGTTTCAGCCTTTGACATGAAAGTCAATGAGTAGCTGTTATGATATCTCCCTGTTTCATATTGCCTTTCGGTGACTTCTTCTCTAGGGTATTATACAAATTCATACAGTTATCTTTAAAGATGAGGGAGGTCAGATTCCTGCAAGCTAACACTCCATACAGGTTAATGAATTCAAAGACCTATGAAGAAGTTATGATGTAGATCAGCATAATACATCGTATGCATTTCCCACTATTCCCTGGGCCATGTTGGAGGGGGCCTCTTACTGCCAAGCAAGACCCTTTTTTTTTTTTAGAAGCACATCAGAAATGATGCAACAAAGTCTGTTTTCAGTATACTTTGGGTTTCATAAAAGATTTAGGATTGCTTTATTTCGCTGATAATGTAGAGGGAGGGCACTTGAGCTTCTAGACATTTCAAACCTATGCTGTAATTTTAAATTGTTCTTTGTAGGTTCATGTCATAATCATTGGGAAAGAGGTTTTACTGAGCCACTAGTTTAATGCAAATTTCAAGTGTCCAGATTTTTTAGAAGTCTAGTATTTGTTTTACTGTGAACACGTCTTATGTGATTGCAAAGTATATGTACACTATAGACAGGTGGCCTTTATAGGGAGGTGGCCACTATTAGACAGGTTTGATCGCGTCCCTCTTCTGGTTCTGATCGATTTCCAAGTAAAAAAATAACACATTATTCCTTCTAGAATAGTTTATATGCTCTGGATAGAATGATATTGTTTTTTTTATTTTACATAACATTTAATCAAATGCAAGGTCTCATCAACAGGAAACTACTGAAATTGTTTCTAGAGAGAAAACACCCTGCTTATCAGTTACCAATCTAACTTTTTGATCATTCATATAAGCTTTTAGAACCCTCATTTACATATTGTAACACCTTTGCGAGATATCCCCATTTGCTAACTAATGAAAGGCTGATGTTGGAGGAAGGTCAGAAAGTGAGAGTTATCAAACTTGCACTTTGTAATCACGGAAAGGCATGTATGCTCATCAGTATCCAACATATTTCACTCTCTCATGAGCGATGATCTACACTCCGTAACACTTTATGAGTTGAGTAGTCCTTGAAGTTGGGAAGAAGTCAAGTTCTGTACGGTAATCAGTTTTATGTTGAACCTCTATTAAACGACCTCATTTCCAGTGTTGAATCATAACATACATATTCTCTCGCTTTGTTCTTTGTGGCAGACTTCTTGAAGACAGACTCAGAGAAATGGGGCAGCAGAACTCGAGGGAGGGAACCCCATCACCCATCCCCTCAGACTCAGGAGTATCAGGAAAGGGATCCTCCTCACCCTCACATCTCACCACCCACTCTGGAGTTCACTCACCATCTCCAAAGACATCTGCCTCGCATCCCACTGCTGCCACCGAACCTATCACCGGCTCGGAGAAGAAACTGGAGCATGGAACTCCTGCCGGCTCTGTGGAAACCTCAACACACTCATCGGACTTTGCAGAGTACAAGCACAAGCTGGAAAGGAGGAAGCGCAAACCAGCCGTAAGTTCTCCTATTTGATTCACATGGTGATGTTGCTGTGTTTTTATTTTTAGTGTATAATCAGAAGTATCTGAGGGTACAGGCATTCTTAATATATTATTGGATTTTTATATTTTTTGCTATTTTAAGCATGGTTATTATGATAAATGTCTCTATGAAAATGAACTTGTATGCAAACAATTTGGATATATATTTTCCATTAGAAATGTTTGAAGACAACGGCAAAGTTAGGTTTAAAGGTATTTTGTCCCATTTGCAGCCAACATCAAATTCTGTCAAACTTTGCAGGAATTTATGAATATGTCACGTATGTCCTATCTGTGAAATTTAAACATTTAATAGCAGTGTCCTATTAATCAAATTATTGAACACAATTCTTCTGGTGGGTAACCTGTTTATTAAGATATATGCATTTTTATTAACTAAGCATAAATGTATGGATATTATGAAGGATATTGTAAATAATAGAATATTGCCTGTTTTACATTCTAGGTTGAGCACCATGATACAGCCATCAAGGTAGCAAAGACAGCAAGTGAGAGCGAGGGAAGGAGTGACTCTGAAACCTCCAAGCAGGCTTCCTCAGGAAAGTCTTCAGCAGATGAACCTGTTGTGACTGGAGCCAGCCAAGTGGCATGTGTGCCAATCTCCACTGACCAAAAGGATGAGCGAAAGCAGGATGTTATCATCATCCAGCGCCAGGATGTGATTGTGACACCTCGCAGTCAGTCTCAGCGCTCCTCTGAAGCCTTTCATGGAGCCTGTGGAGAAGAGGCAATGGACTTATCAGTTCGACCTACAAAGGACTCATTTATGGAAGGACTTGGTCATGAGCATGTAGGTCAGAGGAATGTGTCTTCAAATAATGATAGGGATCCTTCTCATCCCAATTATCAATCCACCTTGAGAAGAGAAAGAGGTCCTGGGCATGTAGGTGTGTATGACAGTTCAGATCTCTCTGATGGAAGTGTACAGTGTGTATCTCCACAGCCTAGCTTGAACAATAACAAAGTATCCTCCAATGATTCTGTGTCAGACTTTGACAGCTGTTCAGGGTCTCCGATGAACACAGTGCCGCAGGGTGGGCAAGGCGGGGAAGAGCTGGAGAACTCTCCTAAACCTGGGGCCAACATGGGTGGAATAGAGTCCATTGTCCAGAGGCTGCATCAGGTGAAGTCAGAAACACCCTCAAGGTCTGATAGTGAGGATGAAAGCGACTACTATGCTGTCACCTTCAAGGACCTCATTGCTCGCACAATTTCAAGATGTGATCGCTATGGCAAGACACAGCCACGTGGTAAACGTAAGCGAGCTTCAAGGACATCGTCTGAGCTCAATGCAGCAAGAAAAGAGGAGATTATGGCAGCCAAGAAGCTCCTTGAGAGAGTCAGTAAAAATAAAAGAGACAAATTCAAGTTAACTATCAATTGCAGTACTGATGGGAGTGAGCATGTCAGGAATGCTGCTGCTTCTGAAGCAATTGCGACCTTGGTGCGAAGCGTCTGGCACAAGGAGAATCCAAAACCAATTGGACAGGTGATTAAAGAAATGGTTGCAAAACGATTAGCAGACCAAGAAGGAGAAGAGAATGACCCTACGGCCATTGGACAGTCTAAACGGAAAGGACCTATGACAATCAAGGACATCTTGAATAGCAGGAGTGACAATGTAGTGGAAGAATATAATAGAAGTGCTAAAGATAAGGAAGGTGAAGGTGAAGTTGAAGTTGAATTACTAGTAGTCTCTGACGATGGTATGAAAGTAGAAATGGAGGATGAGGCAGACCCTGCTCTATCTGCTGCAGAGACTCTCAAGAAAATGGCCAAGAGCAATGAGAAACGTGATGAGAACTGTGCAGAAACTGTCATACCAGCTGGTCAACAGAAACACCAGGAATCTGCAGTCTCCGAGAAGGCCATTGATGTCAAGACCAAACTTTCAAAGGAAAGGGATGGTAATGATGATGACTCTGATGATGAGGATCTGTCCATCGATCATGAGCAAAGGAAAAAAGCAAAGAGGAGAAGTCGGAAGAAAAACAATAGATTGACGAAATTGTCTGAGAAAGGAATCAAGTTGAATGAAGATGAGACTGTTTCTAGTGTTCCAGGACAAAAAGGGCTCAAGGAGATCAGCCAGAAAGTGGATACCTCCGACAGCAGAGGAAATGAGTGTCTACCTGTTACCAAGAAAGACACAGAGACTCTAGTGCACTCACCTGATCATGAGGTCACTCAATGGCCTGCAGAAGCTGTGAAGATGAAGGGTTCTGTGGCTGAGAATGTGGTTCAGATGTCTGGGGATGTAGGAATGCGAACAATGAGGTCCCTTGTGGAGAACATTCAGGATGAGGATGAAGAGGTTGATGTTGTCATGGAAACCAAAGAAATTCCTCGTCCCAGGAAGGAACGTACAGCCAGTCCCCAGCGCACGCTGTCAGAGAGTATTCCATTCCCTAAAATAGAGCCTCTAAAACCTGTTGTCATTTCTCATAGCATTTCTCAAATATTAGAACAGAAAGGTACCACCAGCTCAGTAGATAATAGAGGTAGGTGTAGTAGTAGAAGTAATAGCGTAATATCAGCAACGCACAACCCAGTCCAAGTAGAACCAAACACAGCATATGAATCCCCTAGCAACGATCAAGTAGCTCCGGGTCTTAGAGAGCCTGGTAAATCAAGTTCAGTCGTAGGGTTGGATGGAACTGATCAAAGGGTGGGCGAAGAGAGCACAGGAGAAGGAGGACAAGGGGAGATCAAGTCGATGAGCACCGCAACCGAGTTTCTCATCAGGATTGCCCTCATGCAGAATGATGGCACTAGACAAGGAGTAGTAGAAACTAAATAACAACATACCTCCTTGGTATGGCAAACTAGAGACTTTTTTTTTGTAAAATTGCTTTAATTTGATTGCACCCGGAAGAATTCTCTCTGGGTCAGCAGGCATGTAACATAGCCACACCTTGGGAGTATAGCCAGGTATTGGCATTCATTCTATCATGCTTCTCATTCTCTTTCTACTGAGGTCATGTAGAGGATTTTTTTTTTGAAATGTCTATTAAAAATTGACATGGTCCTCTCCATATCAATTATGCCAAATTGTTTTTTTTAAGGAAAGTGGACATTCCACTAATTGATGCATTTGATGCTATACTGTGGGCTGCATCACACTGTATTGTCCCCCTTGTTAGAGATATGTAAAAGTGTTACAAAAATAACATCGTTCCTTATTTTGGCAATCTCGTCTTCATAATATGGATTCGTACTCGATAATAATAATAAATATATAGCGCTCAATACATTGATCCAACAATGTGCCTAAGCGCTTTATAGATCCCTGTGACATTGACAGAATGAGTTCTATTATCTTCTCATCAAGAACATCTAGATTTCCTCAAATAAACCTTGAAAGACTGTTCCCATTTCTTCCCCAGATACTGGAACAACTGTACTGGTTAATCATGCATATATGTATTCATACATACATGCATGTTGTTACAGCCTGGCTTTCAATCATGCTACAGAATTCTAGGAAAAAGAGAAAACACAGTGTGAAAAGGAAAGTAGTAACTCTAGAGCCACTTAGATCATGATTTTATGAATCCGTACGATAAGTGTCTTTGATGATCTTTACTTGTATGTGTCGTTTCATAGAAGTGTAAATCCTCTTACTGTTTATGATTTCGTAGCTACAGTATAGTAGTATAAGTAGTTGTAAGAAGAATATTTATTAAAAAAAAGAGTTTGATTGGTGGGTAGTGACCCAGCAGAAGAATAGGAGCCTTAGAAAAAGATTTAGTGATTCAATAACGGTATCCTAAAAGTAAATTTATGAATTCCAAGGGATACAATCATGTGGCTTTACAGAAGTAAATAAATACAGTTAGATGTGTGTACTTAAAATTTCAGGATCAATCTCAAATCCAAAGAAAAAAGCCTTTGATTGACCTAGAGCAAGTCAACTGAAAAGAAATGCAGGAGAATTAAAAGGAGGTGAATTTTGTACATTATGTAATATTTTTCTTCAAAGTTTGACTTGTTGATGATTTGATAAACTGACGAAGATGAGATGAGATGAATGAATGCCTTATAGGGAGGGTGTGGTTTATTTGAACCATGACCTTACCTGATAAAATATTTTGTAAATAATTTCTAAAAAATCACTGTAGTGTACAAAGTGTATCTTAAGAAAAATCACACAGATATACCAAAGAGATTGCGTATGCAGAGTTTCACATGATCAAGTATTGTCACATGATTGGTAGATGTCACATGGTTGTAGTATGTGATCAAGTTGTCTTGTATGATCAGATTGTCATATGGTCAGGTGTTATCAAATTGAGTGTTTGTCAAATCAGGTCTGTCACATCACCAACATGTTTGGTCACATGATCATGTCAGGTGTTCAGTCTTGACAAATGCTTTTTTTTCAACAAAAAAACAAAACAGAAAATTTTCTTATGAATGATTACATTCATACTCAATATATTTATGTTCCATATATCATGAATTGTGGACAGATACCATGTTATTATTGTTTTAAATTATGGCAAGATATGTAACTTGTTACAGAGCAGTATTATTTGTTCCTCTCATTGGACTTTCAGAGGGTGCTTTCTTTGTCCCAGTATATTCATGCTCTTGTGAAAATGTCCAAGTATAAAGCATTATTCATGAAAATTGTTTTCATCATCAGATGGTAATACATCGGGCCTTTATTCCATTGATCATTGTCTTATCACAACACACAATACATAATATTATGAGGACTAGATGTGGGATGAAATTTAAAAAAACAAAAAACAAACAAAAACATGCATTTAAAGAAATGTGGAATATTTCAGATCGAGATAAAGCTTAGTATGCTACATGTTAAACTGTCAGCAATGCCAGTCCACTAATTTCTAGGCTCATATAGCTCAGCTCATTGAAAAACAGGACTCTCTCTAACACTGTTGTAGAGTTAATATGGTCTAGTGGACAAGACCTCTGACTTTAGATCACAAGGTCAGGGTTCAAGTCCCTGCTACTTCATGAACGTCCTTGGCAAAATATTAATACATAGTTACCGCACACAGTCCAGATGAGGTACCTGGAAGGAGATTTCCTTGAAATGCACTGTGTATTGATATCTGTTGTCAGAGCTGAAACTGAAGCTCTCTTCACCTACATAGCACTCGAGAATTGAATGTTATTATGGTTATTACATAATTATTATTCAACTTCACATTTTGATTCTTGAATCTTTCCCTGATGACATAGGTGATGTTTTATCGGTTTGAAGGATAGGTTCCATATTGCAGGTTGGTTGTATCGAGTATGTCTCAAGACCATGTTTGTTTCTAGTCAGTTTGCTATGTTTTGGAATTGTCCATGATGAAAGTGATAAGATCATGTAGTAATTGTGATGAATGAATACATTGTATGTAAGTATATATGTACATTTGGAAGTGGAAATATTGTTGAAAGGAATCAAAGTTGTACAGTGCACATTGTAAACATTTGGTGCTTTTCAAATTTGAATCGATGCAAAATTAGTTTAGACAGTCCTGAGAATTTTGAATGCAGTGAATTTTAGTTTACTGAATGGAGATATCTTGTATGCATCTTGTTGAAATGATTAGGATGGATACGGGCAACCTAAATTTGTCTCAATGAGCACATCTCCTATTCTTGCAAAATGAATAATCAGTCTTCTCTTGGTTATTTATGCACTTCCAGAGAAAGAAGTTTTGGGTAAATATATACTGAACTGTCTCCATAGATGACATTATTATACCAATTCAGCGTTCAAATCATTTTAAGAACTATCTGTGTTTCGAAGTTTTGTTGATAATTGTTCATTTCACATTGATTTTAATTTATTTTGCACTTATGCTGTGCAAATGATGTATGGGGGCCAGATGGTTTAAACCTGTGTGAAATGAGGAGTTTTCACATGTATGGCACTAAACAGACTAACTATTCCGTTGTATGCAAACTGAGTATTTGAATACTTGATAGGATCTGGTTGGCTTTCCACAGAGTTATGTACTTGTATGTACTATCTTAACAAGAATCCTGTGAATTCATAGCTAAACATTTTGATAGGGTTTTGCTAGAACACATCTTTGTTTTAAGAGTAAATTTGCCCTGCATTGTTACACAACCCAGTTGGTAAATATTAGTTTCAACTAGGGCTTGGAATTAGTCATTTGGGCATTCTATGGAAAATATTATATGTGCAGTATTATGCCAAGCCTTAAATCAGGATTGATGAATTTGGATATTTATCTAATATGACATTGTAATAATCAATTAAAAGGAAATATAAAAGGCTTACATGCGAGATGTAAGCAAGAAGTTTGTATTGATACACTGAAACAAATGGGTATCATGGCAAATATACAGAATTGAAATACTTTAATTATTCCTGGATAATCTTCCACACAATTTGGTGCTCGTGTCCCATTTCTTTCCTCTGTCCACTCACTAAATACATTCTTGCTCTTTTGGTATAAAAGACGGAAGGTCGTTATGTTTTAGAATTACTTGGTCATAACTTGGAAATGCATTCTCAGCAATTTATCACAGAAATAATGTTTATTTATAACTTGTAACTTGCATTGAATGTGCACTGTACCTATTTTCTGAAATATTTTGTGCAGGAAATAAGCTCTCATTTCTATTTATTGGATATTTATGTTGTGGGAGTTGTGTATAAAGCTATTTGTTTCTTCTCATGTCTCCACAGTTTTGTATGCGTTGAACTGTCCAAATTTTTTGTTATTGAAATGAGTTTAAGTTCAGTTTAAGGATTACAATGTTTTTGTTCCGTCTCTTTATGCAGTATTTGATCCAACCCCCCCCCCCCCTCTCTCTCTCTCTCTCTCTCTCTCTCTCTCCCTCTCTCCCTCTCTCTCTCTCTCTCTCCACATGCACACCACATGTATCTGTATCCCTCTTTCTTCTGAAGAAAGAAAGATATATTCTGTTCATGTTATCATATTGAAACATGGAGGGCAATTGCATCACAATCAAAATCGAATTTGCGATTGGAAATGATCATGCTTCAGACTGAAGACGATGGACAGTTTAAATCGTTGCAGATAAGCAGTAGAGTATTACAAGCTGAGTATTATGTATATAATGATGTGAAGTTCGAGAGTAATAGACTGTTATGGATATGTGTATGTTGTAATACTTGGCTGTGACTAGTCAATGTGAACTGTGCGGCCAGCGAGTATCGGTATTGTTGAACATAGGAATGGAGCTTCAGTTTATTGATGGTGGTAAAGTATAGTGGTAAAGCAAGAGATGAAAGTTGTGATGGGCCTTTGCCATAAAGATTCTCTGGAGCTAAACAAATCAAAGTCGACTTCTCAACTGGCAAGATTGAAATAGCCTGAAACCCGTTATAGCTTGTAAACTTTGGTTATTTTCTGGCGTACCTTATATAAATGTCATCTACCCATGTTGTGTTTACCCATCAGGTGCTGACGGAGCACATATTTCTTGATGAGCAGAGTCTTTGACAAAATTATTCAAATTAATACTTTCTAGCTCTCAGTATATGTGTGGAGTGAAAAAACACCACTTTAATTCTTATAGTAATGAGCACTAAAGTGAATTAGAAAGAACCAAATAATATTATTAAAATCTTCTTTGCATGAATGTAGCTCTTATTATTTGGACTGTTAATCAGTTTATATATATGATTAAATCTATTGAGACTACTTTCAGAAAGGTTGACGTAGATGACTTGCTGACATGATGTTTACCTGACATGGCAACATCCAATGTACACATCATCCTCAGCCTAGCAGGTTTCATAAATACCTCATCACACACTCAGGGGAGAAAAGTCTATGAATCTGATTACATTTGAAAACTCCCCATTTTTATCATGTACATGCATATGTAATCCTAAGGGGAAAAAATAGAGGAGAGATTTCTATTTGACATAAATATTCACATAACCAGTATTATTTTGCGATAGTATCATAGCACGCACCTTCCTAATTGCAGCACGTTTTGTAACTTTAAAAGGGTTTGATTCATATAGGTTTATGATATGCCCCCATATTGGTGAGTGCGTATGTTGGAAAGCTTGGGACGTCTCTGATCACTGCCTCAATTACAGTTTATCACATTTTAAAGTGCTCCACATTTCATGCTCATTTAATTGAGAAGCCTTAACCTATCAGCAACCTTTGTTACGTGGAAAGGTGGGTGTGGGGAGAAGATAAGAGATGTTGAAAGTCCTCATGAACAGGTGTCCTTGTATCATCAATTGTTATCAGAAAGATGTGGAAGTGCAGACATGAATTTGAGTAAATGGGTCCACTTCAGCTTTGAATATTTGTGATGTAATGTAACCCTTGATTGTCACTGGTTTTCTTTCAAATGGTATTTTTCTAGCTCGGATATCATGAAGGAGGTTGATTGTATTTTGAGTTCTAGAAGTTTAAGATAAAATGTACATAACATGAAGGCAAGAATTCAGAACAATAGAAGGAACATCTAGGCACCATGAAAAGACATTTGCAGGACGACGAGAAAATGTGTTTCCTTACAACATCAAAGTCCATGGGTTATTGGAAAGATATTCATGATGGTAAACAAACAAAAATGAGTATTATGTTGTCTTCTGTTTCAATTTTTGCCATCTTGCCTTTAAAGATTTATGATTGTTACTAATAAACGAGACAGAATGTTGTTCTGATAACTCTCTTGAACTACGCTTGGATACTTGTGTTTTTGAGTGTTTGTTGTTTGGTTTAGTGAGGTGTTTAAGACTTGTTGAACCCGGTACTTGTGTTGAGAAGTGACAAGAGTAAGAGCAGGATAACCTAGGTCACGATGATGTTCCTGGTGACCTTGACATTTATGTTAAGTGGAAAGTCTATAAAAGTTAGAAGAGCTCAAATAACATAGAGACTATGTCACAGTGGAGACAGAGAAAGAGAGAGGGGGAGAGGAGAAGAGATGTATGTGAGAGAAGGATAACAATCAAAGAAGAGTATCTGTAGAATGAAAAATGCCTAGATATAAACAAGATTAAAGGGATAGTTGAGTTCTGCTTTCAGACCGCAAATGCCTTCAAAGTGCATGGTTATTGCTCTTATTTTTATCTATGACATTTCTAGTGCCCTTTTAGAACCTAAAATTGCTATGAAGATAACTTTAGACCCAAAAATGTGTGAAATTTAGCCATTACGAGCATACCAATTCAGCTCCACTTTAAAAAATACACGGTGACCTGAATTGATTTTGATCAAACAAAGATGATTTTGTTATTTAAATATTATGTTCTGTCAAATTTGACACTCAGTTTTTCATTATCTCACAAAAAAAATATTTTGTGTAGCGCCCTCTGCAACAGAACTCAACTATCCCTTTAAGATTGTTGAATTGATAGAAAATCACATTTGAACAAAATGTATATTGAGAGAGAAATGGATGGGTAAAGAAATGAAAAAGAGAGAGAATAGCATGCATATAGTGAGAGCTAGAGATGGAGAATAGGGGTCTAATTTTGAAGGCATATTGATAGGGAGAAAAACAGGAACTCATCCAAAATGCCAAAGAAAATTATTATAGATTGTTGAACCATAGAACATTGTACCATGGAGGTCGCAAGTGGAAAATAAAAGATTGACAAAGCACACAACATACAGCTCTTACTTTACTACTTTATCATTAATAAATATACAACACATACCCAGGCGACAACAGCTCCCCTATCAATATTAAACACTAACCAAATTCTTTTTTTAATTAAAAAAAAAAAATCATTACTAACCCTACACCTAAGCCATTTGCAATCCTAACCTTGCATCTGTGATGAAATTGTGAATAAAATTGTCGCCAGAGCATTATGTTGAAGCACCATCAATAACAGCCCCTCAATAAATAAAACAACATCACAAACATACCATTCAGATGCAGAAATTAAATAAGTTTATTGGAAGGACTTTGCATTTGTTATGAATATAAAATTGGAGCTGTTGCATTGTCAGGTTACACTAGGTACAATGACTAACCTATTTGAATCACTACTATGAAAACCATTACATTACACAATCCAATCCAATACAAACAAGGTGATCAAATCAATCAATCACACTACACATTATTTAATATATGACATTGGGTGGTAACAAACGTATGCGCGTATTGGGCAAGAAAAGACATTATTTGGATTTACATTGAAGTCTAAATTTAACAGAAATTACATTCTTCGATGGCAGGCATTTTCTTAGAAAGTGTTGTTCAGTACTCAATCTCTGTTAGTATTCATTAACTTTGCTGTTATTATATTTATCTGAATCAGGTTCCAGAAAACATCATGGAATACTAATTCATTGGTTAATTAGAAAGATGCACAGATACTACAATTATGAGACTGTCGGATATTTTGAAGGCAGTGGCGTAAGTTTGTACATGTATTTTCACACTGCCCTAGAGTATCACCTACAGACATAATTTGTATCAAATAATGTGTCAGAGTTACAGCTTTGAAATATTTACATCTTACAGTTATTAAGTTTCTCAGAAAATACTTCTATTGAATTGAAAAAGTGTGCTTCAGCTAAATTTAAATTAAGAAAATTAAGAAAACTTACTGCAATGGCTGCAAGTAAATTGTCGGTATCTTACCAGGTATGAAAGTACAATAACAAAAAAATTAACATACATAGGTGACAGAAGGATGCTGCATGTGGGTTTCTCACATGAAATCCATGTAAACAAAAGCATAATGAAGTTATGTAAATCTTTTTCATTCATTCATGTATACGTCTCAAAGATGTACGCATAATACAGGCATGATTATGGTGGTAGTAGTATGACAAGTAAACATGTGCCCCCCACATATAGATGGATAACAGTTAGTTTTTCGTGAAGCATTCGTCTTATCAGAGTTGTTGATCAATTTACATAAAAACATGACAACTATAGTTGACAGTTTGTTCATATATCATGAGTAGCATTCGTCAAAAGCAAGATAGAGTTGATTTCGTTTACAGATTTGTACAGGCATTATATGCTTGATCTATGTTTCTTATCTATACAACAGAGTCAACATGAATATGTCTGTTAGCATTACAGTGTAATATGCATGAACATGCGATTCAAACATTCATAAATGTGTCATTGCATTCATAATATACAGTTGTTTAAATGTATCGCACATATTGTAGAGTTTGAAAGTACAATAAAATTGCAAGAGTACATGTACAGTTGTATGTTTTTTTGTTTTTTTGTAATAAACTTGTTAAGACTATATGCACCATGCTCATGCAAGTGACAGAATACATGATATGTATATTTGCTTTTCAGGCCCGTTCAGATACGATGCAGCAAAACCAAGACAGTTTTCTATGATGTAATACGCTTAACTTTTATGTATCTTACAACACATAGCAATACTGAATACGTACAACTCCTTCATTGCACGCAGTTGCCATTCGTTACACACATAACCAATGTGGCGGCGTTTTTGCCACAATTTACTGCACCATATCTGAACGAGCCCGGCTTTAGTAAATGATTTGTTGATATATCTGGATGAAAAACAGGAGTACATATGAGTAGATAGATGCATGTTGCTTGATAATATTTGATCTCCTCAAATACAAAATTAATTGCAAACCTATATAAACAAAAGTAATATATCAATAGAATGTTTGTAGAGAATAATCAATATGCTACAAATTGGATGACCAAGCATTGAATATTGATTATATAGATTCTACTAGGTTGGGCCTATAAAAACCAACCTAAATGATTCATCTTGATCAACAAATTATATATCAAAGTGAAATGGACAAACTGAACCATGCTTTATTCAGTAATAATGCAAATTGTATTATTGTGTTTGTATATATTACTTATGATAGATACATGATGTGCTACATTTTTTACTTCTCCATTCCTGTTTAAAACAAAACTAGATGGAATTTTGACTGCGCGCAGTCGAAAATGATGCCTCCGCCATAGAGCAATTTAAACAAGTTTGGAGTTTAAATCTCCAGTGGTTCTTGAGATATCATGATAACAATCTCAATGTATGGAATTTCATAAGTTGACCTCTGTGACCCTTGACCTTTGACCTACGTGCTCCAAAATCTAATCAGATTGTCTTCCTATGGTGATACACACTATCATTAAGTTTGAAGTTTAAATCTCCAGTGGTTCTTGAGATATTATGATATGGTGATACATACTATCATTAAGTTTGAAGTGAAAATTCTCCAGTGGTTCTTGAGATATCGCGATAATGATCTCAATGTATGGAATTTCATAAGTTGACCTCTGTGACCCTTGACCTTTGACCTACGTGCTCCAAAATCTAATCAGATTGTCTTCCTATGGTGATACACACTATCATTAAGTTTGAAGTTTAAATCTCCAGTGGTTCTTGAGATATTATGATAACAATCTCAATGTATGGAATTTCATAAGTTGACCTCTGTGACCTGTGACCTTTGACCTACGTGCTCCAAAATCTAATCAGATCGTCTTCCTATGGTGATACATACTATCCTTAAGTTTGAAGTTTTTACATCTCCAGTGGTTCTTGAGATATCATGATAACAATCTCAATGTATGGAATTTCATAAGTTGACCTCTATGACCCTTGACCTTTGACCTACGTGCTCCAAAATGTAATCAGATTGTTTTCCTATAGTGATACACACTATCACTAAGTTTGAAGTTTAAATCTCCAGTGGTTCTTGAGATATCATGATAACAATCTCAATGTATGGAATTTCATAAGTTGACCTCTGTGACCCTTGACCTTTGACATACGTGCTCCAAAATCTAATCAGATCGTCTTCCTATGGTGATACATACTATCCTTAAGTTTGAAGTTTAAATCTCAAATGGTTCTTGAGATATCGCGCTAACAAACTCAATACAAGGAATTTCATAAGTTGACCTCTGTGACCTGTGACCTTTGACCTACGTACTCCAAAATCTAATCAGATCGTCTTCCTATGGTGATAAATACTATTCCCGAGTCTTAAGTTTAAATCTTAAATGGTTCTTGAGATATTGTGATAACGGTCAAACGGGACGGACGGACGGACGTACGGACGGACGTACGGACGGACGTACGGACGGACAACCCGAAAACATGATGCCTCCGGCACCACCTTCGGTGGCGGAGGCATAAAAATAATGATGTACCTCAATGTATAATGAATTAACATAAAACTTTCAAGCTCAAATGCAACATGCTAAAAACATAACAAAAGATGATAGAGAAGAGGCATTTAGTGGCAAACACGTAAGCTACATGTAGATCACTTCATAATTAAACCACCTGTAGCATCTATAGTACACCCAGAACTGACTTTTTCATTCCCCAATATTCTTAATAAAGGTTTTAATAAAGAAATCATTTTGCACGACATTGACCTTTTCCAGAAGTTATATCACTTTTCATAGTAGTTGTCTTGTCTTCATAACTCCCAATGGAGAAAAAAATTATTTGTATTTAAATAAATTGCAGTAAGGTGCTAACACTTTCGTAACCAGGGGTCAGTTCCTCTAAACCATTATAAGTTGAGATACACGCGTTTAACAGCATTAATGCACGTTTTCATACAATGACCAAGAACTTATAGACCGACATGATTGATGGTTTCTAGAAACAGGCCTCAAGGTGTCAAACCGGCACACCTAGATTCTGTTGATTTGTAAAACATAGTTAGGTAATCAATGACTTTGTTCCTATTGATTATAATGGTGGGAAAAGAAATGGACTTTATCGTTTAAAGGGGAAGTACACCCTGATAATTAGCTGTATTAATAAAAGCAGAAAAAAAAAGAGAAACAAAGTTTTCACCTTTCAAGATACGTCAAAGATATGCCAATATGTGTTTGATTAATCTCATCTTCAAAAATTCTGAACAATCTTATTTTTAATCAGATTTTGCTCAAACTTTCACTGACCCGTTTCTCCAATGTTTCTACTTTTATTAAAACCAACTTTATACCAGGGAGGACTTCCCCTTTCATCATCTATGATCTATCTCATCATCACACAGTATTCAAAATCAAAGTTTATACTGCAACGATCACATTCCAAAATGATCACCTACATAATATAATAGTACTGTACAAGTACGTACAGAAGCATTCATCATGTATTGCTTAATTGTTCTAAGGCTACAATTCTTTGAAAGAATATTACATTCTTAACATGGCTAGACTATCACAATATACTAAAGTTAAAGTTGAATTGCAATTGAAAGGAAAAAATAATGAACACAAAAATTTAGCACCATACACATCAATGTGAAGCTGATTTACAATCCAATTTAAGACACAATTTGATCAATGACAAGATTACACAATCATTCATGAATCTGCTCCTAAGATGGATGCTTTAATTGCTTTTATACTAACACTTTGCCGTTCATGAATAATCAAGCTGAAATTCTATTTGATAATGCTTGGTTTGCGACATACTTTTGTGTATTTTTCAGTTCATAGCGCACACAATGTACACAATGAAAATCAGCATGTATATTTTGGGGGGTAATATCTGCATAAGAAACATGTACACGAGACATACAATACACTTTAAAATATTGTATAAGTGCACACATGCCTAAATGCTCTGTCCTATTCACACCCGAGGCATAGAGGATCCATACCCAAATTTGTACGGCTACATGACTTACATGTACGATGTATGAGTCTTAACAGCCAAATAGTCATACAATGTACATCCAACCAATATTTTAAGCACCATACATGTATATTTGTATAGTGTATCAGTTTTGGAAAGCATGTGAAAGCGAAAATGAAAGAGCAGGCGGAGCTAATAAAGTATACCGCACAATGTAGAGGCCAGGGAAAAAATACACGGGGGCTTGGGGCGAATTAGTACCCGAAATGCCCAACAGAGCCCCCGAAAGTCTTAAAAGTGCCCCCAAATTTTGCATAGAGTTCAATGCAAAACAAATTAAAGAGTGTTATTTTCATGCAAGCAAGCTTGAACAGTAGCCCACAAAATTTTAAAAGTAATTTTTTCCCTGGTAGAGGCTCGTTTCATTCAGTAAGTTGTAAGTTACCAAGTTCACATCATATACACCAAGATGCATATCAGTACATATAACATGAATCGCACTATTTTCACCATTCTGTACTACGGTAGATGTGTTCTACTATGTACAGGCAAGAGTTCAGCACGAATAAAATACAAATTAGACATGTGCTAGTACCAAACATAACATTTGAAACATATATTGACTTTGAGATTTTTCACCATGAACAAAAATGCCAACATTATCTTTTAGCCCCATGACTTTTAGAAGCACTGTGCATTACATTTAAGATTGTAAGCTGTGCTTCAAGTCAATGTTAAAATAGTGCATTATATGACCGAAAGATGATGATTGAAAAGCCTCAAGTCGATTAAAAAAATGGAGCTGATTTTTTGTTGCATTAGCCAAAGACAAGGACATTAATGGAATACATTATGAATCTGCATGAACGTAAGAAATCGACATAATAAATAGATATAAAAAAATTGGCTAGTAAAGATAGGTTAGTAATGCCCATAATCCAGAGTGGGCATCATGTTATATAGCTGAGCAGGATCTAATGTATGCATTAACTCTCTTTCACTTGGCACTGATGGCTTTGGCTGTGCAGGTGGCTGCTGGGGTACAGGAGGACTGACAGGAACAACAGCCTGGGCACTTCTTGACGACTTGGACCGTGAACGACTTGAGGAGGGGGGTTTCCCACCCGTCCCTTGCCATAGGTCAACCCCATGCTCTTTCTTCTTATGATTCTTCAGGCTGACATTATGGGTGAATGAACGGTCGCAGAAGTTACAGCGGTAAGGTTTCTCACCGGTGTGCTGCCTGCGATGGGCAAGCATGTTATGGAACTGGGTGAAGCCACGCCCACAATCAGGGCACACGTGGGGCTTTACTTTACGATGGACCAGTTCATGTTTCTCCAGCCCATGGGCCGAGAGGAATTTCTTACCACATATCTTACAGTCAAAGTCCCGGACTCCTGTGTGGCAGCGCATGTGAGAGTTCAAGCTGCACTTGAAGCGGTAGGCTTTGCCACAGATTTCACAGATGTGCTTGAGGACCTCTCCCATTCTCTTAGCCTGGTGAACTCGGACATGAGCCCTGAAAGCCTCTTTAGTAAACATCTTGCCACATTCTTGGCAAAGACGGCGTTCTGCATGGACAGCAAAATGGAAGTTCTTCTGACCGGGTCGAAAGCGAATGTAGTCATTACACTGCGGACAGTGAACAAATGTGACGGCCCACCTATCTATTTCCTCCCACTCCTTAGAAGGTTTTGTTTTCTTTCTCTTCTTTTTTTTCCCAGTCTCATCTTCATCCCTCTTCTGTTCTTCATCCCCTTCTTGCTCGTTGGTCTCATCTTCAGCCTCTTTGCTGCCATCATTTGACCTTGTATCAGTCTCAGGTGGAGGTTCACTTACTTCTCTTTCTTCATTCTCTTCTTCCTCACCTTTCTCCATCCTTTCCTGTGACACACCCTCATGATCCCGGTTTGTATTCTCCCCACTGTGTCTCATACTCATATCAACATAGGTGTTATCTTGGGAGGGGGCATGGTCAATCCCCACCATACTACCCCCTGGTATGTTGTACCCTTCCCCATGCTGCTCCTGTCTATGACCACCTCCTTCTCCTCCATCAATACCTATTTGCATGTTCTGTCCAAGTGATGTAATAACAGGTGGGTACTGTCCCCCACTCTTACCCCACTCTCGCCCATCCTCATAATGCTTTCTGTATGCAGGGATGGCATCATACCCCCGATTATGTCCCCAGGGCTGCTCCCCATGCATGATCTGACCTGAGGCCAAAGGTCTACTGTACATGTTTCCTTGCATTTTACCCCACTCATTTGTATAGCTCTCGTGAAGATGCCTCTTAAAGGGTGGCATCATCTCAAAGCGTCGTGCGTCCATCATATCCGGACCATAAGCCATTGTCCGATACATCTCGCTCTCTGCCATTCTGCGCTGTTCACTTTCCTGCATAGATGAATGTGGGTCAGGCAGATGGCCCAGGTCCTCGTATTGCTTCTCAGAGTCCTGGTACTGCTTCTCGGAACCATGAAAGTGTTTCCCTGCCTCCTGCCCATCATTGGAATTCTCATCTCCAGCAGGATTGTGATTGTCCGGTTCCTTTGGTTTCATATATTCAGAAGTATGAGTTGATTCAAGGTGGGACTTGAAGGCAGTGATTCCATCAAAGCGTAGGCAACAGATCTTGCATTCATAGCGTCTTGGAAGAGCATTCCAGTCAAGGTTTTTTAAAGTACTCATCAGAGATGGTCTCCTGAAAAATAAAAGGCGAAAGACAAAGAGTAGTGAAAATAACTTTCTTAGGAAATTCCATACAATTACCACATCCTGTGAATATGACTGCAAAGTTTAAGTAAATATGACTATTGTGGGGTTTATTTTTCAATTGCATCAATACAATCAACCCGTCATCAAAACTATTCAATCCACAAGACCCTAAACAGACTGAACATGTTCCCACAAACTGTATTACATCGAATTTCACAACAATCAAATTAAAATCACTATATGGAAATTAGTTATGGTATGAGATGTGAGAAAACATCTGAAAAAATGACAAAACTACACTTTTATACAATTATGTATCAAATTCATCTCCTGATTTTCTGTACTAAGAATATGCTTACATTATCTTCTTTGAATAAGAAAAGTTTGTTAAGTTATCAATAATAAGAAAGATTCCCCACTCACCTTCCTCCTCTGTGTATCCTAGGAGCTTTATTCTTCTTGTTAGTCTTGATGACTACTAGCTTTGGTTTAGGTTTACGTCCCCTCCTCCTCTCCTGTACTAAGGGCACCTCTCCATCTTCTTGGCCTCCTTTCTTCTGAGGTTTGGGCGATCTCTTGGGCTGACGTGGAAGCTTGGTGCTTGTCTTGGATTGTCTGGGGCTAGAGTTCACATCCATCAGCTTCCGTGGTCTTTGAGACTTCCTCTTGTTTCTTACTGGATTCGATGGCTATCAAAGAAAATCAAGAAAGTAATAACTGGATTGAAAATAACTTTAATATTTATAATGAATATATTGAAGTGGAATGCAGCATGCAGCAGCAATTATCCAGAGGTGGATAAATTTCTTCAGTACATTTAACATTTAATGCTAAAATGTAGATGATTCATTTCTTGAATATGCTGAAATAGAAGTACATATTTGAGCAAGGCTAGTCAAAATCCCTTGAAAAGATTTTATTAAATTGTCATATTAAAAAAAAAAAATTACATCCTGCGTTGGAATGCATTATAACAAATTAGATAACAAAAACATTCAGGTAAAATTGTCATCATGCCATATACAAGTGCAATAATTTTAACATCCTAAAATTTATTTCACATGGCAGGGCGTAAACAAATTGCACTAGTAGGATTAGTTAAGGAGAGAAAAATCAAATACTTTGGTCATGTTAAAAGGCACCAAAGCCTCTTAAAGGATGTATTGGAAGGAAGAGTGGAAGAGAGACCCAGAATCAACCGGGAAGAGAATGTCAAGAACTGGAGTGGACTAAAATTGCAAGAGTGCACCAGAATGGCAGAAGATAGAGTGAAATGAAGAGATGTTGCAATCAACCTCCGTACCGAGAGAAGATACTCAGATAGATAGATAAAATTTGTAGAATGCCCTTTCTAGCGAAATGGAGGAAGCAAATATAATTTTAATGGGAGTTATAAAGTCACCCTTTCCCGCCCCACAAGTGATGCCTCTAACTGGGTGACTGCATTATAGGGTCATCTTGCTGCCCACAATACTCTATTTTGATTCACATCACCATAAATGTCACATACTGTCATCGCGACCTACCTTATATGCTCCAAAGCCTTCATGTTCATGAGATGGATCATAGTCGTAGTCATCCTTTTCTTCAACAGGATCACCAAATTCATCCAGTTCATCATCAAGATATCCATCTGCCCATTCTTCAGGTTCATCAATGACTTTCACTTGCTTGGGTTTCTTGGGCTTCCGTTCATGTTTGTGGCCCTCTTTATCTTTCTTCTTGCGTTTCTGACCTTTTTTGACATCTCGTTTGGGAGAAATAAACTGCTGGAAATAGGTTCTGTCCATGCTGCAAAGATAGCAGAAATAGGGGGGGGGGGGGAGAAATATCATATGATTGATGAGAACCATATACATGTACATGCACAATATGTTCATGTATTACAAATAAACTGTTGGTCCATCACAACAGGTAAGGTATCAAAGGTATTTAATCAATTTGACCTTTTGATCAAACAGTATTCCTTTGCATCAACACTAAAAGCAAAACTCCCTTCTTTTCCTTATGGGGTCTGAATTGAGAGTTTTAGAGTATGTATCCATGGGATCTGTGTTTAAAATGTCAAAGTTTGGTAGTCCAGACCCTGTCTTATAAAGAGTTAATATCAATCGCAACTATGTACATGAGAGATAGAAGACTGCAAACTTTCTATTGATTAGAGGAATTAAGATTGATTTGGATCAATTGCAACTCTTTATAAGAAGGGCCCCGGAGTTCAATATGGGGACCCAAGTATATCAATTGCCTGTTAGTATCAAGCCCTACACTAAGAAAGTGACTGATAACAGCATCAATATCGCGTTCACAAATACAACTGGTCTGTTTGGAGTAATAAGGTTATTGAACCCTATACTCTTACACTGAACTAACCCCCTTCTGGTTCCAAACAGACAAAGTGGATAGTAAACTCACTGGTCCATCATGATCTTGGCTAGGTCCCTGTCTGCTTTGACCCCTAGGCTCTCCTTCCATGCATCCCATCGTCCAAGCTGCTTGCCGATCCTCATAACACGCATCTTCACTTTGCCTGGTTTGGCCTTCACAATAGGGGGCAGGGCATACCGTTCCTGCTGTGCCTTGGGTGAGGTGCTTCGAGTTCTTAGGCGCAGTTTGATCGACACTGGCCTTTCTATTATCTTGCCTTCATCACTAGGCTTTGGTTGTGGTGCTGCCGTGAGGAGATCACTGGTTTGCTCTACAGAGGAGGAGGACTGCTTCAGACGTTCCTGTTCCTTTCTTCGCAGCTGGTTTTGTGCACCATATCTGTGGAGATCTGACAAGAGGTGACCGCGTTGTTTGGCCTGGAACCGCAGACCCTGGATATCGTGCTCGATCTTGGCAACAAGCTTTTGCGTCTCCTTTATTCTATCTTCCTCATCGTCCTCATCCTCTCCTTCATCGTAGTCATCATCTTCCTCTTCAAAACCCCTTTGGGTCATCTCTCTAGGAGTGCCCTCAAGATCATTATCATCATTGTGAGTTGGGTGACTTTCTTCATGAATCCCCACATCCTCATCATCCTCTCTACTTCTAGCATCTATGTGTTCACTCAGTTCAAAGTTTGGTCGTCCTCTTGGTGAATGCTGTTCTTCACTCTCAGATTCAAAAGAATGGCGGCCTCTGCTCTGAGCGTGATCACGTGTCAAAACCTGGAATAAATCCAAACCAGACGGATATAAATACTAGGCCTGAGTCATGTCGGGATTTTCATAAACCGGGTCCCGACGGCCTTGTACCGATCGGGACCCGGTGTCCCGAAATCAGCTCGCAGGATTTGCCACTTGCCTCTATAAAAAGCGCATATCATCAGTATGTCCCTTAAAAGTGACCTTTTTTATCAATTAAATAAATCAACACATGCATACCTCGGCTCAGATCGGTATATTCTTCCATTTGACATTATTTTCATCCATGATTGGCGATGTTTAGTGCCATTTTCGTGCCTCTAAAAGTAAAAAAACTGGGGCAGAAATAGAAAGACAACATTCGAGCCGCCATTTTGATTTATGCAGGTTGAATAAATCTGGTCAAAAAATATGAATGTTAGAATAATAAAACGGCTTTCTAAAAATTTCGTCTGTACAATATACCGATCATATAATATTTTAAAGACAAAATAAATATTTATCTCTTATTTTAAACATCGCATGCTTTTTTTTGAAAGCTGAAAATTACTTGGTAATCAAGAGTTTCGATACGGATAGCTGTTGCAAGGCAAGTTCAGACTAGCATCGGGAAAATGCGAAGTGCTCCTCGTAATTAGCTGTAATGCGTGCCAGAACGAACCCAAACAAAGTCGTGATCGTAACGAGAAAAAAAATCATTAAAAACTACGAGAGCACAATTGGAAAGACAACTATTGCTCAAAATTACCATAATCAGATAGATAACTTGGACAATGAATTCAATAATCGCCCAAGAAATGCCACAGAAATTGTGATAATCGAGGAGTAACTGGGTACATTTTTATCGCAAGGGGCCTGCTGCAAATACTTGAATCCTTTGTTATACTGCTTTTTACTGTAGAGGGCGTTATTTGCCTCGTATAGCCTCGTGTTCAATTTAAACACGTGTAATTCGGATATTGCAGCAGGCCCTTCCGATAATGATTGTACCTATAGTAACTCCTTAAATATCACTATTTATGTGGCTTTCCTTGGACAACTATTGTTTTCTTCCTCCAAGTTAGGTATCTGATTACGATAATTTTGAGTAGTTGTCTTTCCAATTGTGCTCTCGTAGTTTTTAATGATTTTTTTTCTCGTTACGATTACGTCTTTGTTTGGGTTCGTTCTGGCACGCTTTACAGCTAACGAGGAACACTGCGCATTTTTCCGAGACTAGTCTGAACTTGCCTTGCAACAGCTATCCGTATCGAAACTCTTGATTACCAAGTAATTTTCAGCTTTTAAAAGCATGCGGTGTTCAAAATCAAAGAAAAAATATCTATTTTGTCTTTTAAAAATTATTCGATCGGTATGTTGTAAAGAAGTACTTTTTAGAAAGTCGTTTTATTATTCAAACATTAATGTTTCTTTCAACCTGATTTATTAATCCTGCCGAGAGACCCGGTCAGTACAGTAGCTAGCTAGCAGCTGGCAACAACAACCCCATAGGGCGAACTGCCTTAATTGCAACCCATATATTTATATCAGGATTGATTCAGGATGAGCTAGAATATGATTGGTAACAATTAAATACTTAAGTTTTAAGGTGGATTGATTTTAGTGGTGTGCAAAACTGCAATTTCTTACATATTTCGTTATTTTTTTCGGAGCGTCGGTTCTCAAAAAACGAAACCGGGACCCGACGGCAACGGTCGGGTCCCGGTGTGATCGACCGTACCGACTCAAGCCTAATAAATACTATACTCTCAGAATTGTTCATAGCTTTAGTCAAAAATGAAAGTCTGCCAATTATCAGATTACCGTACAGAAAACAGATTATAACTGAAATACTTGAAAGAATACTTTCCTACTAATAGAGCAAGTAAATAATTAGAAGTAAATAATTAAAAGGAAACAATAATTTTTTAACTTTAAATGTTGTCCTAACTGCAAGAGGTTAAAAATGAATTTACTCTCAATCAAAATCTGGTCCAAATAAAATAATTGAAAAGATTGCTTCTTAATTAAATTAAGCCATTTATCATCTGCCAGTAAAATGTATGTCATACACCAATCTATGTTCATCACTGAATGAAAGCAAAGAGAAAGAGTTAGGGCAATCTTGAAACAGTTGATAATAGATTAACCTGAACATTTTAATACTAATCTTACTTCTCTGTCTAAATGATCATCCTCATTTTCTTCTTCATCATCATCAGCCTCATCTCCAGATGATAAAAGAGATGAAACTGGCGAGCTGATTTCCTCCTCTTCCTCGTTCAACTTTTCATATTCCTCGTTTCCCCTCTCTTCTATTTCCTCCTCCTCATCTTCCTCTTCTTCTTTCACTTCTAACTTGTCATCATAACCTCCATTTGGTTGCAGGACGGCTGTGGATTCGCTCCCGTCTTTCCATGCCTGCTGCTGACCTGAGAGGTCAAAGGGGTGTCCAGGGTCATGGTTAGGGTCATGGTACTCCTCTGGTGATCCCATACTCAGCACTTCGGGAGGAGTGTTCATCCTGCTGCTGCACACTGAAAATATCAAGTCAAGATCAGTGTAAACTTACAAGATCATGATTGTAAGAATATCTTGGACATTATTTTGTTGGGTGTAGCAGGATGGAATTCATGTCTGTTTCGTGTCAATTTTCTTATCTTTTTTGGAGTATTTTTACTACAAACGCAGACTTATAATATACACTTTCTCACAGAATTCATGGCAAACTGCTGCACAATACAATTGCATACTGTACCGACGGTGGGGTGCAGGCGCACACGTGTGTTAAGATAGCGACCGTATTGATGAATTGCTTAGATTACAGTCGCTAACTTAACACACGCGAGCGCCTGCACCCCACCGCCGGTACGGTATGCAATTGTATTGTGCAGCAGTTTGCTGTGAAATCTGTGAGAAAGTGTATATTATAAGTCTGCATTTGTAGAAAAAATACTCCAAAAAAGATAAGAAAATTGACACGAAACAGGCAAAAAACACAACAAATTTTAAATCGTGACCATAATTTGTACAATTGATGAAGATTTAGTCTTTTGGTAGATCTATGTTTTAGTAGGATATCTCCACACCGGAGTTCTGGGTCAAAGAGTGGATAGACTTCTGAACTAGCTCTAACATTCAGAAATGCCTAATTTGATTCAGATTTTAGATTTCGCGCCACCTGCCTCCCTAACTTTACATTTTCTTATCATCTTAATTTTAAAAAAGTCAATCACATTCAACAATCAACGCTTGAAGTTATGCTTGCTCAGACCACCGCCATCATTCATTCACAGTCATAAGTCATTTAGTGTTTCTAAATTCGAACAAGCAGTGTAGGGCCAAGGCCAAGAAGGTCATCAAAATATAGCGCTCGCTCGCATGCATGCACGCCAGAGGACGAGGGTAGAGGTCAATCGCGTTCGCGCTGCACCCTTCCTCACTCGCTCAATACCCGTAACGGGGCCGGGGCTAGGCTAGCCCCGCCATACACTGGGCTAGCGTTCAACAATGAAATGATCTTGGGACGGGTCAATTCCGACTCAATTTCATCCAAAAATTCACAGCAATATCACTCTTAAGTTAATCTATCTTTATTCAAAGTCAACTGCTTACCCTGAATTCATCAAAATGGTATCCGATAATTGTAAAACAATTATTTTCAAAGGGTTCAAATGTCTTTTTAAGGTTGAATTCCCCTAACTAAACATTACACGAATTTGTGCCACAGAGGGCGTAACTTTCAACATGGCGCCGTCCATTGCCCAAAAATCTCAAAAATGAAAAGGTCAACAAAAGGCCGTGATTAGAGCAGATATATAATAAAGGTAAGATTGCATGTATATTCTTCAATTATGTTAATGATAGGAAATAATGCCGTTTACTCACTGATGTCAATTTTTCATGAATTTCCATAAAACAATTTCAGCTGGCGCGCTTGTAATGTATGAATATCCCGATTAGCTTAGCCAGCGTAGCCCGGTCGGTTTATCTTGATCCTCCGCTGAATACTGCGACCGCGCTGCCGCCAGCAGGGCCAGGCCAGGGTGGGGGGATGGTGTCGTGCACGCACACAGTTATTATCGTGCAAAGTTAATGGATGGAGGTAGAAACTAAAAAATAACTTGCCTTATTTATTTTTGCAAGCACTGCCAAGGTTGGAGATGTCGGGGCTCTGCTTCTTAACTCCTGCCAAGAAGATGGTGTTATTGAGAGCAGCAGGGAGGGTTCATCATTATCCTCTCTATCGCAGACTTGCCTCCCAACTATCAGCCAACCACATCTTGAGAAATAGCCCTTCAGAAAAACAAAAACAACATGTTGCCTATGTTCATACCAGCCCAAAGACTTCTGCTGGATCTCTGCGACCCGGGCAGAGTAAAGACTTCTTGCAGGCCAGCCAAGTTAGAAAGAAATTCCTGGACCACTTTCAAGGGCTAAATGATCATGTGTTTGTGCCTTCATCATCGGTGATTCCATACGGTGATCCTACGCTGCTGTTCACCAATGCTGGAATGAATCAGGTAGTACTATAAGGAATGAAACAAACATAAATGAAGTTTTAAATGTAAATATTTAAGGTATAATATTATATAATAATAAGAGATTACTACGTCTATGTTCTTGTCAGTGATTTATTTCTGTTGATTTTATATCATCCAAAATCATAGTTGATTCAATTGTACTTCAACAAACTAGGAAATGTGTTTCTAGCTTTATCATGGTATCTACATTACCTTAATTCATTATTTATATTTGAGAATGTTGCTGAATGATTTTTATCACAGTTTTGACATATAGAACTGCTTTTTTAATGATGTTAAGAATGATTTCAAATGACAATTATGTCTTTTGCCTGATATCTAGGTAAGATGTGGAACTGTTACTTGCTGTTGAAAAATATTTGTTATCTTCTCCAGATTGGTTCGGTTTATAATTTGTCTATCTGTTGTCCTTTTTAATTCCTCTCTCCATCTCATACGCCATCATAAATCATCTGCTGCCCTCTGTAGTTCAAGGACATCTTTCAAGGTACCATCCACCCTGACATGGTCCAGAACTGTTACCGTCGAGTAGTCAACAGTCAGAAGTGTATCAGGGTTGGAGGCAAGCACAATGATCTGGATGATGTCGGCAAGGATACTACTCATCATACCTTCTTTGAGATGCTTGGAAACTGGTCTTTTGGAGATTTCTTCAAGGTAATTGCAACGTCAAATGTACTACAGACTGACGCAGAATAATCTTATTATAGTACTATGTCCATATATGTGCAACATGGATTGGCCTGAGTACCGTTTCTTGAATTAAAACAAAAATTATCCTAAGAATTATAATGAATTGCCTCCATAATTTTGTTTTAGTTGTTCATTTGCCCATATTTTTTTCTAGATTCTTTTTCAATTGCGCTTTATTGGATAATGATTTATATTTCATGTATGTTTTATAATTCTGAACCTGAATTTAAAGATTGTGTGTGTATATAAAATAAAAAACAACAAAATATAACATAGAAAGGCTTGTCACCTTTGACTTTATATCAACAGATGCATACATGCCAACTGTTCAGATTAAAGAGGAACATTCCTCTTTTTGGGAGAAGATAATTATCATTTTAATGCAGGTGTTCCTCTTCCTGTACAAATTTGTCTGTAGTATTGAATAGGAGAGTTAGGATTGTTCCTCTTTTTTTTTTTAAATAGCATAATTTGTACAGATTTCTGATTTTCAAATGTTGGCATGTATGCAGATGCTACATGTAGAAGCACTCCAGATACTCAACAGCTCGTTATCAATTCTCTAGTATTTCAATACTATTCCTGCAGTTAGGCTAGCATACATGTTTATGTTTCTATGTTATGTTGTGTTATGATTCCAGAAAGAAGCCTGTACCATGGCTCTAGACCTGCTAACCAGTGTGTATGGGCTGCCCCTTGAGAATCTCTACTTTACCTACTTCAAGGGAAATAGTGAGCTGCAGCTAGGAGCTGATGAAGCTACAAGACAAATCTGGTTAGATTTAGGGTAAGCGGTCCTTTCCTCCAACAATCGTGATAATCTAACCAGTCAGGTACCTGGAAGTCATGTTGGTGACTTTTATCAAAGATGTTATGGGGTTGTGGTTAGAGTTATGATAAGCATCTGTGAAGTTCAGTAAATACAGGTGATACAATACACATCATGTAGAAGGGTGAATGTCATAAGATTAAAGAACTTATGATACATTTAATAGCAGTGTATAAAACTCTGCCCCCCCCCCAAAAAAAAAAAATATATATATAATAAATAATAATAAATAAAAACAATGAATGAATGAACAAATAAATAGATTGATAGATAAATGAATAAATAATTAAATTAATTAATGAAGAAACAAATAGAAATGTGTTGGTATTCCAGGTGGTGTTTCACACAGATCCTAAGTTGAAATTATCTCTAAGTTGGACTTAACAATTATGGAAAGCTGTTAGCATCTTTAAAAACATTTTGTAAAAGTTATCTTAAAAGGCATGAAATTTTGATTCAAATTATTCATAGTTTCTATTATAAAGGAGATTTCATGTTCTTGATGTGGAATTTATAAAAAGTCAAAAATATTTGAATTTTCACTATTTAATATATTTTATTTTAAGGCTACAAATGGCTCTCCATAATTTTTCAGTCCAACTTAGAATTAAGTTCAACTTAGGATCTTTGTGAAACACCCCCCAGGTCTATTGTCTTCAAGATTATGTTCTTTTTTTAATCTTTGCTTTCAATCCTCCAGAGTTCCTGAGGATAGAGTTCTTCCATTTGGCATGGCAGATAACTTCTGGGAGATGGGTGCTGTCGGTCCGTGTGGACCTTGTACTGAGATTCATTTTGATCGTCATGGCAACAGGAATGCATCACACCTTGTCAACTTAGGTGACCCAGATGTATTAGAGATTTGGAATCTTGTATTCATGCAGTTTTACAGGTATGTTTTCATCATGAAACTTTGAGATTTTTGAGAAATTTTGAAATTTGATTTAAGTATAATTGTTATTGTTGTTGCTGTTGTCATTGCTATTGATGGTGATGATTTCTTTCATATTCTGATACATTCTGAGGGAGAACAAGCTGTTGTTTCGAGATGAAAAACAGTACAAGCAGATGAACACAGGTACACTTAATTCTATTACATATCCATTTTGTAACTAGTTTATATTTGGATCTAATGAACTGACTGACCTACAGCTTTAACTCAAGTCTTATCCAAGGGGCTTCATGATAGAGGATGAATGCCTTTCCAAAGGGCCCAACTCCCCCAAGCTCAATTACTTGCTCCACTGATGAGCCAACACACCTACTGTTTGATTGATAGAGATATTTATACAAAAAAGTAAATGATTCAAATGTTAGCTTGCTTTGAGTGTTAGCATTGGGCTGTTTTTCTGCAAGGGATGCCATGTCAGGAATGTATATCTTGCTTGTGTATTTCAGGAATGAAGCTGGAAGTCTTCATGATCTCCCTAAGCATCATGTAGATACAGGAATGGGACTGGAGAGACTGGTATCTATCCTGCAAGGAGTGCCTTCAAGTTATGATACAGACTTATTCCAACCTCTTATCAAGAGATTAGAAGAGGTAACAATCTCCAAAGCCTACCTACAAGTCCATTTGATGGTCATGCACTTTAAGAATTATTAAGACCTCGGTGTAAAACCTTGCCTAAAATTTTAGTGTTAAACAATTTGTTTTGAGTAAGATTTTTCATCCTGGAACAGAAAAAAAGGTGCCCTCATTTTCCCATAGAATATATTCCATGCCAAATTTATCTCTTGAAAGTTACTAAACGACAGCTGTTCAGAAACTAAGTGGCACAGAAAGGGAAAACTTGTTTTCCCTTTAAAATAACAACTCCCTCTTGTTCCTTGATAGACCTGTCCAGTAAGACCCTACCAAGGTCTACTAGGAGAGAAGGACCAGGACCATATTGACACAGCCTACAGGGCAGTAGCTGACCATGCTAGAATGCTTACTGTGGCTATTGCAGATGGATGTAGACCAGACTCTCAGAAACGTGGGTAAGAACTTTGATTCTGGGAACGTTGCTACTGCAATCATAGGCTGTGTAGTTGAAGTATTAATATTGAAATTCTAAGTGTTATTTCTCTATGATGTTTTTTTTTAAAACTATTTTAAATAAAAAATTTAGCTCCTGAGTAGTTAGCTTTACAAAATGAAAATAGAACAACATATTTCTTAACTCAAATAAATTTAGCCCTAATCATTATCATCATGTTATGTTTTATTCTTTATATATATTCTATTCTTTATACCCCGGTAGGTAGAAAATAGGTCTTTTTACTCTGAGGGAAATAGTCATAAATTCTTAAGGCCAGGGTTATTTCAATTGTGTTTGTAGGTATTTGTGAATCATTCCAGATTGCAGATGGATATTTTATCAAAAATTGTCAATAAGAGGGCTGTTTAAATATTTCACATATTTTCACATGATACCCTAATGTCATTATGTACATAAATATGACAGAATGTGTTAATGTTTTTTGCTCCTACATGTAGGTATGTGATAAAGAGAGTGATTCGGAGAGCAGTGCGGTATGCTACGGAGAAACTTCAGGCCCCTCCTGGTGCCCTGGGGAGTCTAGTGCATCTGGTTGTAATCTCTCTGGTAATATAAACAAAGGTTGATAGATAGATAGATAGATAGATAAATAGATTGATAGATAGATAGATAGAGAGAGAGAGATAAAAAGACATGAAGGCAGACAGACAGACAGACAGACAGATAGATAGATAGATAGATAGATAGATAGATAATCTATAGATAGATAGATCCCGGTAGATAAAAAGATATATTTTTAGTTAAGAAGATAGATGTGTGGCTGTACAGACAGATGGATAGATAGATGGATTATAGCAAAATATAAATTATTATTAACATTTATAGATTTTTGGTAGAGTGTAAGTTACAGATAACATCTGTAGATCTATGTAAGGAAAATAATTTACCTACCCGTATGTGTACTGAAGGTAGTTTAGAATGAGAGATGCAATAAATGAATGTAGATACAAATAGATTGAAATGTGTATGTCGACAGACTAAGAAATATTTGAAAACTTGGAAAAGATGCAGTGCAGTAGTATCCAGGTGCCAAAAAGGTTAAACATTTTTCACTTCATCCTTTGCGTTATTATCACTCATTGATTTGATTGTTTGGTTGTTCTAGGGAAACACATACCCTGAATTGGAAGAGGATCCTGTGTACATCGCTGATGTAATCAACAACGAAGAGGAACAGTTTTTAACAACTCTGAAGAAAGGAGAGAAGTATCTCAAGAAAGCAATAACAGAACTCAGCCCACGTACAGTACTACCAGGTAAACATACATGCCCCCTTGCCCCCCCCCCCCCAACATACTAAAAAGATAAGATGAAGTGAATAACAAATAAAATAAATAATAATAATAATGATAATAATTAAATAAATACATAAATAAATGAAATATAAATAACAATATTAATGATAATACTAACAGCCATCCAGCTGCAAAGATATGTTTTTAAATACATCTTGAATCTTAATTTGAACATCAAATCAACCTGCACTCTGTTCCATCTATCTTACTAAAAGATCCTGATTTGATACGCTCATCAAGCAATTAAAGGTGTTATAATGAAGAACATTATGAGGAGCAGACAGCTCAAGTTTGTCATAAAATTAAAAGAGAAGCAGAGGGAGACATCATATTAATTGCATAGATTTTTTCAATGATACTATCCATCTTGCTTGTTAAAGGTGACATTGCTTGGAAGATGTACGATGCTTATGGGTTCCCTCTTGACCTGACGACCCTAATAGCCGATGAGAATGGACTCGGTGTGGACATCGAGGGCTTTGAGAAGTCTAGACTAGAGTCAAAGGAGGTATGTTACAAAGAGTGGTCTTAATTCATTACTTGCTTTGGTCTACAATAGAACATACACATGGATTGCCACAGTTAAGCTTTTTCACACATACAATGCGCACATCCTATGTAAACAAAACAAGAAATAAAGTCTTAATTTGAGGCAAAGTAGGTTGTAGTCAGAGAAGGATGAAGTACATTAAGGTAAATTTCCTGTTGTGGATATTTGTGCTGATTATGTAAAATATTTATGAATATTTCTGGAGAGTAGTATCAGAAAAAAGGTAAATTTTTAAATTCACTTTAACCCTATCTAGCCCGGGGGGGGGGGGGGGGGGGGGGGGGGGGGGGGGTGGGCTTTAGAAGCCCCCCCCCCCTCGACATTTTTCGCGATAATTTTTTTTAACACAAGAAAATCTTGCACTGAAATTTTGTGACTTTTTTCTTTCAAGTCTTGCGCTTCTTTTGAAAGAAATTTTTCGAAAATTAGACCTACCATTACAAAGTCACGTGTCCTTTTGTCTTTGCATGTCAGCCCGAAAATCGCTCATTTTTGTGATTTGTGTACAAAACTTATGGAAATCTCATTTTTCAAATAAAGAGATAAAACATTGGTTATTTGGTCTTGTTTATAGTTTAGGTGGTTATTTTGGGGTCAAAATAGTTGAATTATAGTTGGAAATGAAATATAACAACAAAAACATTAAAATACATAAGTTAAAAAAACAAAGAAATACATAAGAAATTATCAAAACAATAGATAACATAAGGAATAACCTTGGTTTTTCAATTTTTTGTGTTGTATTATTATTCCAAATGGTCTAACAAATATATGTAGTGAAAAAGAATGCTTAAATATGAATAATGTCTGATTAATGGACAAAAATGTTAATTTTATGACCTTATTTGCATAAATTACCATAAATATGCAAATGAGTGAATTTTTCAAAAAACCGAAATTACCATAGTATTCTATACACTTCACTTGACATGTATGCAAATTTTCGCGGCGACCGGTCGTTTCACGGCCGAGATCATAGGGCCCCCCCCCCCCCCCCCCCCGGGCTATGCAGTTTCAAAATAGCCGGGCTATATAGGGTTAAGTGTCTGCCCCTTTTCTTCTAATATTCTGTAACTGATCATGGTTTTGTGAACATACTTAACATAATATCACATACAATGAATGCATTGGCTTACTTTATTCTTTATTTAATCCTTTATTGAATGTTTCAGATCACCTCGAGAGGAGGTATCAAGAACCAGCAGAATCTATCAAACATCAAGCTAGAAACAACAGACATCAGTCATCTACATGAGCTGTCTGTCAAGGACACAGATGATTCCTATAAATACAACTACCAGCATCATAGGCGTGGCAAATATAGTAAGCATCAGAGATGATTCCTATGAAATTAATTATTAATAATAATACTCAGTTTTTATATAGCGCTTATTACTATCAGTAAGTGCTTCCAAACTTGGAGATTATTACCCAGGCTTAAACTGTGCTGCCATTAGAATAAGAACATGGAAAGAAATATGAATCCCTGATTTTTATTATGAAGCTGAGTCCATGACAGAAGCATGTCTCCATGATGTAACGAAAGGAATTACCCTAAGATGATCAATTGCACAATAAATAATGAATATTACCACTTACCGTATTTGCCGGCGATAAGGCTGCAGCACCGTATAGGCCGCACCCCCGATTTTAACATTTAAAAAAAAAAAAAAAAACTTTTTGTCGAAGTCGGGATTTGATCTCTTGCGTATAAATGTTGATTTGACTAAAATCACCGCCTTAGACCGCTCGGCCATCCCGCACTGATGCTAGCTTACGTAGTTTTTTGTGATCTATACATTGCGCCTCTCTCTTGTGTATTGAAATGGATTCAAAATAGCGACTTCGCGTGCTGGATGCTTCGCAGGAGCTCCGTTAAACGGGCCCTTCTTTACTTTTGCAATGCATTGGCACGAACTTAGATCAAGATCAAGATGGTTTTTTTTTAAAGTTTATTTTCGTCTTCATGTCAACAATGCAAGATAAAATTGTTGGTAAGATGTGTGGAAATGTATAGTTATTGTATCGTTTGTAGATCTAGTCACATATGTGCAAATTCGTGCTGGTTTTGACTTCCTTTTTAAAAAAATTTTTTACTCTTTCGTCGCATAGGCCGCACCCGACTTTTTGATATTTTCTCTTCCAAAAATACTGCGGCCTTTACGCCGGCAAATACGGTAATGATTTAGCAGATGTTCATATAAATTAAGTGAAGTAAGCTGGTATTCAGAAAACATCCTTTGAAAGTAAGGAAATCTATTTTTAAACCAATCCACCATCATGTTGCCTTTAAAAGGGATAGAACACATAATGTGACTTGATGGTCAGTGTAGTGGAAGGTCGTCTATATGGAAAGAAGACGAAAGGAAGACCTCTTACATGGTTCATAGATGGTATTATTAGAGAATGTGGAGTAATACCTTGTATGTAACAGAGAAATTAAGTGGTTGGCTCAAGATTGTGGCTCGTGGATTGACATTTTGTCGTAGAAATTGATATGTTCACTAAGCATGTCATTTTACAGATCACTATTGATGATGATGATGTTGCAATTTCATCACTTTAGACTCGATTTCAACTGCGTCAACGATCGTTGAATATTGTAAAGTCGCAAGTGCTTCTAATATGTTCATTTGAACCAAATTCATGACCCCATACCAAAACTTTGTATTTTCTTTAGGTATAATTATAACATTGACGATGACTATCTAGAACATACTTTTGATTATGCTGTTGAACAGTAGATAAAAACACATATTTTTATGTGCAGTGCTGATAATTTCCAAACGGGAATAGCAAATCGGTCGATTGTAGTCAACACACATTATTTTAAACCTAACGTAATATCAGCCTTGAGAGGGAGCTATACAACATAAAGAGTTTATTATTTACAATTTCATCACTTTAGACTCGATTTCAACCGCGTCAACGATCATTGAATATTGTAAAGGCGCAAGTGCTTCTAATAAGTTCATTTGAACCAAATTCATGACCCCATACCAAAACTTTTTATTACCTTTAGGTATAATTATAAGATTTACCATGATTATCTAGAACATACTTTTAATATGTGCTGTTGAATAGTAGATAAAACACATATTTCTATGTGCCATAAAAGTTATCCCTTTTTGTCATTCCTTGTCAACTTTTCCTGCCTTAGCTTTCCCTCGTATTCACGCTCACATCTTAGCCTTGAAGACACCCGAGGGGTTTGTGGAGAGCGCCTCCAGTGGTGAGGAATGTGCAATCATCTTAGATAGGACCACATTCTATGCCGAACAGGGAGGCCAGCAATGGGATGAGGGATCCTTCGTATCAGCAGATGATGAAGTAAACATCTTTCCTTTTCTAAATCTCTTCAGGCAATCTTTGTAGATGTACGCATACTTGTTTTTTTGTGCTCTTTCTCTCTCTCTCTCTCTCTCTCTCTCTCTCTCTCTCTTTCTCTCTCTCTTCCTTCTCGAAATTCCCTCCCACACTTTATAAAGACATGCTCTTTGCTCTTTTTCTCTTTATCTCTTTCTCTCCCTCTTTCTCTCTCTCTCTCTCCCTCTTTCTCTTCCTCCTTAAAATTCCATCCTGCACTTAATGACATGGTATTAGCCGCTATATAAATATCTTGATTATTTGTCATTGCTATTACTATCAGAGATGTATTTTGGTGTATAGTCATTGAAGAAGATTATTTGATTTTGATTTACAGATGATTTATAGAGGAATTCTTCTACGATTTTCCGCCTTTTCTCATATTCTCTGACTGTTAAAATTGGTATGGACATTTCTTCAGGGTTTGAATAGTGTTTAAATTCATCTGCAATGTGAATAATTAAAAATATTTCAAAAAATATGTATGAAGCACATTATACTGACCGTTCTTCCTGTATCTTTAATGCTTGTAGAGGGGCTTTACTGATAAACGATACACAGTGCTTACCGCCTTATTTCAGGCAGACAACGATATGTATTCCAGGTTTTATTCATGTAATCTATATCCTTTGTAGGAGCTGATGTTTTCTGTTTATGATGTGCAATCTTACGGTGGATACGTTCTTCACCTAGGGACTACAGCTGAAACGGTTTCTATAGGTGATCATGTGACATTGTATGTCAATGAGGTGAGTGAAAGGAATTCAATTCATTAAGGAACTTAACAGTGTTTGATGTAACTTTGTACTTCACCCTGTCATCATCTTATTTTCTTTCACTTTATCTTTATGTCTTCTTCTTTTGTTCTTTTTTCATCTTAGTGTCTGCTTGTTTCCCTTGTATCCTCCTTCTTTAGCTTCTCCTTTTTCAATCTTACCTCTCCCTTCTTCTTCATCATTTATTCTTCACCTAATCTTTCTTCTGATTTTCCTTTCTTGTTCTTCATTTCTTTTCCTTCCTTCTTATGATTTCGATATTTTTCATTTAAATTTGTATTCATTTCCAAACTCTTGCTGATCTCTCTCTCTCTCTCTCTCTCTCTCTCTCTCTCTCTCTCTCACTCCATCTGTAGGAAAGAAGAGAGAAGCTGATGAGGAACCACACAGGAACCCATATCTTGAACTTTGCCCTTCGACAAGTCCTGGGTCACATTGAGCAGAAGGGGTCATCGGTGGCGCCAGACAGGTTCAGATTTGATTTCAATGCTGAGGTAATTATGGTGGATGCCACAGTATCTTATCTACATAATCGGACATTAATGATGATGTAGACATATTGGAAAAGTAAAATGAATGAATCCTTTTTAACCTTGCTTTGCTACCAGGGGTTCTTTTATTTTAAAAAAAATGCTGTGTTCTATGGTATGAAACATAACAGTCATTGAACCTGCTTTGAATTTCAAAGAAGTAAGACATGGTTTAAAACAAAAAATTGTTAGATATAATATGATTTTTTTTTATGTTTTAACCATTTTTCCTTCTGTACTCCTACAATTCATTAATTTGATGTGTATTTGAAAGCGTAGTATTTATAGGATATGCAGCATTCTGTCAGGTAAATTATGTTCAAATTGGAGCTCAGTGGCAAAAAAAATAATCTGCCAACTGAGCCATTTCAACTCCTAAAATGTTGTCCTGTCTGAAATGTTCTGTCTTTATTTGTTTGTGTATTGTTCTTGTATTTAGAAGTCAATATCGGACAGACAGCTGCAGCAGATCTCCAGCATAGCCAACAACCTTATATCCAACTCCCTTCCCGTCCATCAAGAGTCCATCCCTCTGCAGAAAGCCCTGGCCATTGAGGGTCTCAGGACTATGACCGGTGAGACCTACCCTGATCCTGTCACAGTGGTCTGTATCGGTCATCAGGATGGTCAGTTAAATGGGGACATGACCAAGCTTGGAATGGAGACATCGCTGGAGCTCTGTGGTGGAACGTGAGTTTCTCCTCCTACCCATTGAATACGATATATAATTTGTATTTTCTTGCTATAGTTATCTCAGGCTTTGAACAGGCTAACAGCTTAAATTCTGTGTTATATAACACAATGATTTGTAAAGTTATTTGAATTTGTTTGGAAGCAAAAATAATTATTAATAATTCATTGTGGTACATGTAGAACTGGGAACTGTAAAAGAAATAAAAAATAGAAATAGCCAAGTTTACAATTTGTTATATCTTTTTTCTGCTTAATTACTAATTAACTATTGTACTGAAATTAATCTACTTATTTTTCACAGCTTGGATAATATTGCTAAACATTTTTAATATATGAAGCTTGGATTTTTTTACTTGTAATATGATAAACTAATATTTCACTTCTAACACGGGCATGTCACTTTAAGGTAAGGCAGCAAAGGAGTCATCATATTAGAAGGCTAGACTTGGAAATATGTGAACCTAGCTTCACTATTTTGCTATTTCTATTTCTTCATGTTTTTCCTCTCCCTCACTCAAAGGCATGTTGAGAACACTGGTCACATTCGCAGACTGGTCATTGTATCTGAGAAGTTGGTCAGTAAGGGTGTGAGAAGACTGACCGTAGTGACCAGTAATGATGTCATGTTAGCCGACTATACATCCAACAAGTTTCTTCAGAGACTCAGCCAGCTTGAGACAGAGGTCAGAATGGTTTTCACTTCTTTATTCATAAAGATAAAATATCAAGGGTGTTCCTGTATATCTCATGTGTTTATAGAGAACTGTAAACAAAACAAAAAAAGTTTATTTATCAAAATCACACAAAAAAAGAGTTACAGAATCGGTGAAAAAATTAAAAAAACATAGAAACAAAAAAATAAACTAAAATCCAAAACAAAGCTTTTGTAATTAATTTCATGCCCATGGGATAAACATTATCTTTCTTCTCCAGATAAGATGAAAATAAACTTCATTACACTGCAGCTTAGAATTGTAGATATATCTTGCTATTAAATAAAATCAAATAAATCTGACCAAGGATCCCTTTTTTTGCGGGGGAGGGGGGGGGGGGGGGGGGGGGACTTACAAAACCTACCCGCTGTGGAATCTGATATTATGGTACCATTAAACATTCTTAAAGTCCACTAGACCATAACCTGGACAGTGCTGATAGAGAATGTTATTTGTCATTTCTTTTTTCTTTTTTGAACAGGTCTACAATGCATCAACCTCAAACAATCCAGAGATGAGGGATGATGTGATAGCATCTCTAGAAAGCCTTGTAGAGGACCTTGAAGGGGCTCACATCGATCTCTGGAAGAAGAGAGAGATGAACAGACGAGTCGCTGACATGCAGAACAAGCTCAAGAAAGCTGACAAACTCAACAAGAAATCAGTCATTAAACAGGTCAGCTCAATTTCACAAATCATGCAGTTGAATTTGAATAAAATATGCTAATATATAATGACCAGTCAAATGAGAAGTCATCAAAATTAGTCATGATTAGTCGACACATCTTCTATACGTCAGATATGGAAAGTGTTTTCAGAGAACTTGTTTTGGAACAGAGAGACTTGACATGAGGCATGGTATTGAAATTTACTATAATATTTTAACATTTTAGAGATAATAATCATTCAACTAATATTCTGAAATGGACAGGAGAATATATTCTTTACCTCTCTTCCCTCAAGCGACACCCAAATTGTTTTGTTTTTTTCCCTTTTTTTCTGTCAGAATTTTTCTCCTTTTGAAAAAGTGTGGATGTACCTTATAATAGAATCAATGGTGATTTTACCTCTACTACAGGTTGCTAAAAGACTTCATGAAGAGTTCAGAGAAAAGAAGAGTGAGGTTTGTTTAGTAGGAGTGACAGGAGATAGCATTGATAATAAGGTGAGTAGATGTTTGATTAGTGTAGCCCCTTGTTACTTAAACAGAGCATGTAATTTCTGGGAAAGGAAATGGAAAGATATGATTTTCTTGTAAAATTACTGTTTTATTTTATTTTATTTTACATACCAGGATAGGGAAAATGTCCAAGCGAAAATATAAGCTCTGCTTTTCAGAGAAGAATTCAAAGATATTTGCAGAAAGGTCCAACATTAAATTTGGAAATCAAGGTTTGTCATTTAGGAAAAAGAAAGGACCTAAAAAAAAGGTCTAATCTACTTTTCTCACATGTTCTGCCAAAGTTAAGAGAACTATGTGAATGATACAGGTTTAAAATTTCTATGAGCAAATATTTCTAAAGTGGCTGTGCTTATATGAACTGTTATTCAGTGCAGTGTTTCTGTCTCAAATTGTCTTCAGGTGCTGTTGAAGGTACAGCAATCATTGGAAGATGAGTTTGGGTCAACTCCCCTCATGCTTCTTAGTACAGATAAGGAGAAGGCTTATTGTATCTGCAGAGTACCTCAGGTATCTTAACTCAACTTGTTTCATGTTTTAGTATGATATGAAGACACAAATGTCTAGTTAAAAATGAGTTAACACTCACATATCATGCAATAAATTACACCTTCAAGATTCTTTTCACCATAACATAATTTTATCACTCAGTTTATGAATAGAGATGTTATACGATGCTATATAAGTGTGATATACAGTAATGTCATTTTAAATAAATAAATTGATGATAATAATGATGAAATATGGTCTTGTTTCATACCAGGGCAGCCTCATCATTAATAATACTGCTCATCATGAGGGCCCTGCAATCATATTATTTCCCAAACTTTAGCCCAGCTACCATTATAAGATGATCAAACATTCAAGGAATTTCTTTGTTTTTGTTTTTTTGTTTGTCCTGCAGGAGTTAGTTTCCAGGGGATTACATGCTAGCCAGTGGATGGACTCTGTCATGGGTGAGATGGAAGGAAAGGGCTTCGGCTCGGAGACGTTTGCTAGGGGGCGTGGCTTAGCACCATCCAGCTTGGAGGAATGCGCGAAGAAAGCAAGAAGTTATGTAGTTCAGAGACTCGAGGAGGATACGTAGTGTTTCATGCACTGCAATTTGAATTTGAAGTTATATGCTTTTTATTTATTATGTCATATTAGAGGACTCATTGTAGAGGGAGATGCTGACGTTGAATAGATGTGTGCTATCTTGATGACTTCATATATGTATGGCAGGATGTGGCATTCTATCATATGTAGTGTCACAGTTTAGACAAATGCATATTCAGGATGTGGTAAGAGGGGAAGGGTAGATACAATGCTGAAAAATGGGTTTAACATTTGAAAAGGGGGCGGAAGGAGGCAATGCGAAGAGGCAATGTGTACATTTTAGTATGCCACATTGGCTGTTGCAGGGGCCTAAACTTTTGTGCTCCTACCCTAAATCTGCTACTGCCCTATAGAGGCATGGGGTGTTCAAAGAGCAAAATCATGAGTGAACATGCATGTTGAAAGGCAAGCGAGGGACGTTTGGTCTTCCGGCTCCAATGCATGCCTACATAATTAAGTAATTACGCGTTATGCCAGGGGACTAATGTACTTCAATACTTGCTTTGTGATAAACCAGAATTGACATGATGAAGTTATGATGATAGCTCCCCAGTGTGTCTGTGGCAGACATTCTGCTTTTGATGTGGTTAGGTCATGAAGGGGCAAGGTGTTTCTATCAACATGAACCAATTAAATTGTATGCCTAAGTTTATATGTAGTACATTACTACAAATGATTCAGTCTTTGTTTATATATTTCTTCATGTAACTGAAACATGTCTTTTAAAAGAAAGAGTTGGCCTGCATATTGCCAAACAGGCCTCTTAATTACATGGCTGATATGCATTGTGGTACAAGGCTGGTATCCTTATTATCATGAGAATGAATTTATGGTGATGAATAGTTACAAGACATTGATAACCCCTGTGTGTGTGCAAGATCTTGTATTATCAATTATGTGTTTGAAGGGATTGAATCCTTGTGAGAATGTACTTATGAAAATAGAAAGTTGTGAACGTTAATTAACTATAGAATTATGGTTTGTCTTTATCAAAACTACATTTCAAATGAATCTTTGAAATGGATAGTGTGTAGCGTTTTCTAAAAGAGATTCAAGATAGAATCTTATATGTAGTATATTACTACAAATGATTGAGTCTTTGTTTATATATTTCGGATTTAAATCTTGTGATAAATGTGGCTATATCAAAGTATCTTCTGGTCAGGGTGTTTGCAATCACACATACAAATCTTCATGTGGTTGTAGGTCATACATTCTGGTGATGATTGCCGTACCGTGCTGTCACTAAACTCAAAACTTGACCTTAAACTAAATTACACCCAAGCCCTAGTCCTGTAAGAAGCCAGGAGCAAGTTATTGGATCACTTTTATTTGGGATAAAAACAGGGTATTAAGAAAAATTAGGTTATCTCTTATTTATGTATTCTTTAAAATAGGTTGGTTACGTTTCTCTGTTTTACTCCTTTCCCCCATCCATCTACAATTTCTTCCTCCATTTAATTTCTACTTTTATGTTTTCAACTTTGCAATCACGTTACTCTAATGAATATTGATCTGTACTTAGGTTCATTGTTTCCCTCCATCTTTTTCTTTTCTTTCTTTTCTTTCTGAAGTATTTGAAAACCTATTATGCCCACACTACTAAATGTTAAAATAAATATTATGTGCTATGCAATTATATGTTTTATGACAATAACGATTTCTTTGTCTTTCTCATACGGTTGATAGGTTAGAGGTTGTCCAGTACACAACAATTTATTTGTGACCACAGAAATAGGGACGCTGTTTCAAAATCTAGTACACTGTAGTACCAAGTTACAATAATGGATATAAGCTAATGAAGTCATTGAATTTGATTGGCTTTGAGCAAATTTTGTTGTAGAATTATGGCCTGTGTTATTCATAGTTAGTGTTATGAAACAGGGGTAAGGTGTAATATACATATTCTAACTTGTTAATGTTGCCTTTGTCAATAATGTCTACAACTTGTGTGTACATGTACGTTGCCTGTGTATATATATGTGAAGACAAATTATGTTTATAATTATGCTTTTAAAGCAAATCAATTAAACACTCAATGATTGTTTCTCCTTGATTTTATTATGTGTATGGTTTAAAGCTTTCAACAGATGGAAAATGATCCGTACAGTACTGTCAAGTAGTACTCTTTAAACATTTTTTATGGGATGTATACAGTACATTCATGTGGGGTTTTTTTTAAAGTGGATTACTTCAAATGGAATTTTAGACCCTGTTAATATACTGTCAACATTAGTAATGTATTTTTCATCATTAATCAAGGATGAGATAGATTAGAGAATATGTTAGTAAGTCGTTTTGAAATTAAATATAAATATTTTTTTTACAGTAATTTACTAATGCAACTCAATCATTGAGATCCGGTTGTATTTTTTTCCCTTGAAAATTAGTGCTTTTACTCATTTAAAATAATGATGTGTGTTGAAGAACAGTAAGATAGTTGTGGCCATTTAGTATTAACACATCGTCTGTTGGTAGCCAGAAGGGCATTAACTCTGTATCAAAGTATTGTACAGTATAGGACAGAGTTCATCATGCCCTTTTGACTCTCAGCAGATAACCTGCCCTGTGCCCCCCCCCCCCCCCCCCTCCATCTTCCACTTCATAATTTGCATTAACCAACAGACTAGAAGACGATCAGAAGATAAGACTGTGATGTAAACTTTTTTTCTTCTTTTTATTGTGTTCATAAACTTAAAAATAGTAATTTCATTTGTAATTTGACACCAAGTAAACTACAGTGTACTTATACAACTTTGATGGCTACGAGTGTTGGTACAGCTATATTCAAACAAAAAGTACTCGCATCAATTACAATACAACAGAAATGGGTGGAGTTTTTCGATCAGCTATGTGAGGCCCACAGACCCTCCAGACCAAACAACTTCCATAACAAAAATTGTAGTGCTAGTAGTATAATCTAGATGTTTGGACGGTTGTGTAATGGGCCTATACATGTAGAAGGTTCAACGACAACAGCACATCTCCAGGGTCCCATTTCACAAAACTTGTTATCAGTGACAAATAACATTTGTTGTTATAAGCTAGTAAAATCCTTGCTTCTGATTGGTTATCAGCAGATTTTTCACTGATTTTTGTCATTTGTCTTTGAAAAAGGCTTTGTGAAACGGGTCTCTGGTATGATGCATGACGTTGATTTGGACTTAAACTTCATGACTCAATCTCAGTTGAAGCCAACATTTGTTTGGAATTCTTATTCAGACAAATAATCTTTATAATAACAAAGTGACATATCGAAATTTCCAATATACAAATGATGCTAAAAATAAGACTTCACATGTCCATTACACATGAAGCTCTTGTCATAATCAACAACAATGCCCCACACATGTACTCAAATCAATTAACTCATTACCGGTATTCAAAGGTAATCCACACACTGTACCTAAAAACCAGAGCTGAAAGTTGAAAATGACATACGCGAAAGGGTTCTACTCTACACTTATTAAAGTATCCATTATGCTGTCAACATTGCATCCTCAGCACACTCGTTTAATAATGTCAACAAAATTGACTAACAAATCTCTGTAATTGATGCATTCATGGCCGACCTTATTCTGTTTTTGACATCAAATTTGGTATAATTTAATGAAGAAGACATTATCAGTAAAAACATTTCTTTTTTTCAAATGGGCAGACATGTGCTAATAAACGAGTGAACAGGAAATGAGAAAGTAAGAAAGCGCATATAGGGACAGGTGATTCATTACTGTTTGATACCTCAAAATCTACATGCATCGTTAATATCCCCTGAATAAGTATGTAGTGTCCTTTTAATCTGGTAATACAATGACAGCGCAGCACAATAAGTTAATTGGTTCCCTAATACTACAAAAATGACTTGTGAAATGCCTTGTGTGTAGATAAGTGTGAAAAATGTGATGTTTCTGCATTTCAACTTGTAAAACCCATCAGATAAGACATGTGCTACACATAGAACACAATAGGGCATGAATCTTTTGATACATCACCATACATACACTAACTACCACCCGACATAAATATTTGTACATCATAGCACGTCATGTCATAATGATTGTGATATCTTTCAAAACCATGTTCAAAATGCGACAATTTTACATTCATAACTTGTGTTTAAAGGCACTTTGTGATAATTGCAAGGAACAATTTCTGATGATGTAGCGTTTTAAGATGCAGTCATTGAAGGCAATAATGCAAAAGACATATATCACATTTACTGATATACAGGACAGAACATGCTGTACACAAAAAGAACATTGAGCTGAAAATGATATTAATGTAACCAATAACATTGAGGAGTAGCGTTGGAGGTATGACATTATTCACTTTTTGTTTAAATTCAATCAAATCTCATCTAGCTGTAATTAAGTACCTAGGACTGAATGTACAAACTTATCAAAGTAATGTAATGAACCAGAACTTTCTTGATGAGAACCTTTCATAAAGTGTCATGGACGGCCATTTCCACAGCAAGAATACTTCCGCTAATTGCAACAATTGAGTTTCGTGTCACTTGCGATTCAATTATTTTGTGGTCTGAAACTGTTTCTAGTCTGAACCCCTCAAGAAATTTGTGAACATTTCCTGCATGTGGACGTTTCTGGTTGTACGTACGGTACACAAAACGTCTAACTATGAAGGACCATCATTTGTGGAAATGAATTCTGGCCTTCCCAGGTATAATATCAGTATTATCGTTGACATTGCAAGATAAACAATGTGTCCCTAATATGTTTAGTTATTGTGAAGTGCCATTCCTAATCTATTTGTGTATTGCTAAACTACCATGGTAAATGTATACACACAGAACAGTTCTACTGTACAACAATTTATATTGTATAATTATTACTTTTACTGCCGTTTTGCGTTGTATGTGTACCTGACTAAAATTATACAGATATCTAAATCCCATAACATATTACAATTCATGGAATGTTTAAACCTTAGAAGAATCAAGTTTGCAGCTAAGATGTGCTTCTATAGCCAGACTACACCAAACTATGCCACGCTATACTATACCCATACATAACAGCGAAAATAAATACCCGGTATATATTAAGAGCTTTAGTGCATAGGAGAACATATGCACCATCCTGCAGATGATATAGAGGTATGCATAATCACTTTACAGTAGAGTTAAGTGATATTGAACATATGGTTGTAGATATTCATACGAACAAATAAATAAATCAATGTTACTTTATCATAAACTGAACAAGATGAAATTATTTTTCAGTACTGCATTTTCAACTGCAAGACCAATCCAACTTATGCTAAATTTCCCCTTCTGACAAAATGTTTCAGAACATTTGCACTACGTGATCAGAAGAGGATAAAACGATGAAGATAAATCATACAGTGTTATAGCCATAGTGTTAACAAGATGAACACAAACTTGATAAGACTATGGTGCAAAGAAGGCAAATCTCTCTCAGCATTATTATCACCTAAATCTTGACCAGGGTCATAAATTCAGTAAAAACATTTCTGTATTCCAGGTGCTCTACATAATCTTGTGCCCAAAATGGCTGACTAATTTTGTTAAATAGTTTAAAATGCTATGTGGACAAACCAATTAAGGGTCTGTCTAGACAGAACCCTTTCATTAATACAATTGTTCAATATAATCATTATAATTGTCATTATTCTATCCAAGTGAACATGCACTTATCAATGAAACACATGCTCGATTTCTAGCGGTGGTATTGTCATTATTTGGCAAACAAGCCCTAACACAAGATGATATTCAAGGCCCAGATTAAAATTAAATAAAAATCAATGCTTTTCGTTTCCGAAAATGTTTACTTTACTACCTTCATGTCACCCAGAATTATAACACAGGAAATCTACTTTTGTGCACCTTAGGCTGTAATCAATATTATGCACAAAGCTTCAAGATGAAGCGCTATATAAGAACGAGCTATTATTATTATTATTAGGGAAGTTTAAGAAAATAAACAAGATTTGCTGAGTATAACAACGTGAAATTTCATTGCAAGCCTGAAATTTTAGATAGAGGCTAGAAAAATCTGGTTACAAGTTTATAAATTTCACTGCTTACCTAAAAACAAAACTAATGAACAAAATATTGATTCCTTCCCTCTCTCTCTCTCTCTCTCTCTCTTTCTTTCTCTGTCTTTCTCTCTCTCAATTTCTCTCTCTCAATTTCTCTCTCTCAATTTCTCTCTCTCTCTCTCTCTCTCTCCCTCTCACTCTCTCTTTCTCCCTCTCTCTCTCTCTGGACAAATACACTTAAGAGACAGATTCATCAATATATACCTCAAATATACCATTAATATCTAACACCTACAGATAAAAAAATTGTAGCTCTTTTTTCTGATGATATCTACAAAGTAATATTTGGTGTGTCTAAAATCCTTGAAGTCCATTATAAACAGTTTGTGCTGACGTTTGCTTGAGTAAAGATTGTAGACCTGTAGATAAACAGAAATAGGAAAATAAAGCATCAAATTAGTGACACAATGTATTTCAATCGCGAGACCACGTGCAAAGTCCATCAAAATATGTATGTATCGTTGGAGAGTTTGTAGCAAATTGATGTGATTTCATTTCAAGTGTGTTATATGGAACATATTCATGTATGTACATAACAAAATTATACTTCAATAATGACTTGGTAATCCTTAATCTAGGTCAGTCTCTTGAAATCTTGTAACTGGTTTGAATCATATACATTGCCTATGTGAGCCCATATGATTTCAAATGCACTCAGTGACTCTGTGCATCCTTCAAACTAAGGTTATTTGGTAGAACGTTAGAGTACTTATTACCGGGCACGTCCAAGATCCATGTAATTTGGTCAATTGATGTCATATAAGCTACCAAGTATTCTGAAGCTTATAACAAAAATTAACATTAAATTCATTTAATTTCATATTTGGTCTGATCAATAGTAGGGCTATATTAACTAATACAATGATGAGATATATACTAATAGGCTATTTTTGTAATGTAACCAAATTTGATGCATACATCTCTGTGAAGTGCCTTGTTGAAAATAATTGCATACATTATATGTTGCTAGGTAGGACAAACATAATGGTTGCCCTACCTAGCAACATACGATATCTGCAGTTTGCATTCTGACTGTTTAGATACAATTATTCTAAACAGGTGAATGAAAAGTTAGAGTAGTGATATCAAAAATGAAGTATTGATCGATAAAATAGAGAGGTAAGCAAAATAAAATTGATTTAAAAGAAATAGAAAAAAAGAAGGAGGAACTCATCATGAAGGTAATGAAAATGAACAAGACAGTGGGTATGGTCTGTAAAAGAACTTAAAGACAATCTAACTTACTGTCTTTTTGTTCTTGTGTCATATCTCCTTTGGGAAAATCAACATCAAATGTGACAATAAGAGTTCCTTTGACATTGTTGTTATCATAGTTAGGCATGCCTTCTCCTTTCTTCCTCATCTTAGCACCTGGCCATGTCACTTTATCTCGCATTATATGAACCTGGAGACAAAAAGAAAAAAGTAAGACCAAATTCATGATTTCAAATAGGGTAGTGAATGACTTGTTTATAATTCCATTTCTTGACTGGAAGATTTTAAACAAACAAGCGAGTCATACTTAATATAATTCCACTTAGTCTTTAAAAGCAGGTTTCTCTCCAGTAGTAATTCATTCTGGAACAAATAATTAAGTACCAAAATACCAGTAGAAAGCATTTGCTTGAAGGACATTAAAGTAATAGTCAAATCACTTTATTTAATACAAATTTAAAAGACATACTTTACTTTTCTACATCAGAGCCGTCTAATCTATACACCGAGTTAGCCAACTTGGTTTCAGTTGAACTCAATATGGCATATATATATATATATATGTGTATATAGATTATTGTTTTGTATTTGCCTAACAAAGCAACAATGGCCATATTTTGTCCAACTAGAGCCAAATCGGCCAAACTCTGATAATATAGGGGACTCTGATCTACATAACTCAAAGCAACAAAAGGTTGTGTTTTAAGAGCAGCATTATACATGACCTTCTGCATGATATCAATAGTTCATACTTACTTTATGACCATCTAAATGTTTGATATCCATCTCAAAACCAGTGAGAGCATCCACTAATGATATTGTTATGTTGGTGTAAAGATCATCCCCTTTCCTTTCAAAGATAGCATGCCTGAATGGGAATAAACATAACAAAACAAAACTGTAAGAAAATCTGTTCTTGGTAATTCTAATTAATGTATGTAAATAAGTATATTACCCCCCCCCCCCCCCCCCCCCCCCGGATTCCCTATATAGGTTCCTTTCATGTTGGCGCCAATCCACTTCGAAAGAAACTCAAATTCCTCTGCAAAGAATGACCCTTACCTGTATGTACTTAAGTTGTACGTCATGTATATAGAATGGAAATCAAAGATTGAAGGCACATCAATTCCCGATTAAACCAGTGTATACCAATCTCATTCATAGGATTGACTGTGGTGCATCCAAGTATCCAGTTATATTCCAATAATAAATAGTCTTGCCAATTGTAACTTCCTATTTCATCTGATCAATTAAACTGATCCCCCTTGAAATTGAATTTAGTGACCTCTCTTCTGAAGATGATCCAAATAGTTCTTCATTTTGATATTCCATGATATGAGATGAAAGCTTAGAAATGCCAGTTTTCGAGAGAAATTTTTATCAAGATGAACGAGCAATAGTACAAGCTTTCACAGAGGTGCCTATGAAAATAGGTTTTCATCTTCATGACTTGATACACCTTACAGAAACATAACATTGGAAAGGTTACTTACTTTAAAGCAATTATTTGAAATCGGAGATCCCCAGGCTCTCCGTCAATATGGGGTTCACCTAAGAACAAGAAAAGGAAAATGGAAAGAAAAGAAATGAATATACAATACTTCTAAGGGCTGTTTTACAATTGGGGTACACATTGAAATTATCACTACACTGACTATTTAAAATTTCAGTGCAATATGAAATATGTAAATTTTATTTTTACATGGTCAATCATTTTGCACTATTAGCTCAACCCCAAATAGCGAGAAGGGGGGGGGGGGGGGGTTCCACCTATTGTATTCAACTTAACAGTTTCTTCTGATAGATGCAAAAAGGATATTCTCAAGCTGATAGATCAGTATAATAAACTTATCTGAATTTGTATGTGTTCTTGGCAGTACATAACACCCCTGGTTTAAATATCCAACATGGGGACTTCAATAACACTATGTCAAAGCCAAGATCTTCCTGAAATGGGAACATCCACAAAGGACCCATACATCCATGCATACTTCCAACACCCAATTTTTTTTTGGTGGTCATCCCGAACTAACTCTCCATGATGCCATACAGCCACATTCATCTCAGTTTGGACCAATAAAGATGAAAATGCATACTTGCAAACCTGAAATTTGCTCTTGTCCTGACCAATCACCCCCTCACATGAAACAAATCCACATTTCTTTTGATTAAGACCAAAGATAAGAAATTCTGTACCGAGAATCCTTGTTATATAATATCTCACCTTCTGCTACAAATGGGTATTCTTGGCCATCGCGCATCCCAGGTTCAATCTCAATTTCTAGAAGCTTCTCTTCACTTACAAATCTAGTGATGGAGAGAAAGGGTAGGCGAGATGAGAGAGAGAGAGAGAGAGAGAGGGGGGGGGGGGGGGGAGAGTGAGAGAGCAAAAGTGAAGAAAGAAAAAAGAGAAATGAAAGAGAAAGAGAAAGTTATAAAAAAAAGGAAAAGACAAAATAAATATCCCGAAAAATCAACAATTTTTACTGTACAACTGGGGGCTTAAACTCCCAAAAAGCTTTATGGCCCTTCCAGACAGAAACATCTCCCGATAAAGCAAGAACAATCATCACAAATGCATGATGGAGGTACCATTCTAAATACTGTATCTGTGGATAGTAAATACAGGATGAAAATGTGGCATTAACTATCTTGTAACTCCTTTATTTATTTATTTTTCCTAAAGAATGTTTCACACAGGATTATCTTTCTTGGTTACACTGTTCTTCATTTTCAATTCAAATAACAAACTTTATCTTAAAATATTTGACAGTTTAATTCTTTATGAAATTATCACTGTCTGGTAGAACCCTTTCATCAAACCAATTTGGATGGTTTCTGTGCATTTTTTGATGATTCTGATCTGGACTGCTCATGCATTGATAACTGCCTATATTCATCAATCTTATCACGATTTCTCAGCTGCTTTGTAAATCCAGCAAATTTATTCCTGTCTAACTCATATATCACCGAGGCGTGTGTCCCCATGTAAATGAGACGGCCATCGCAGCTATCGGGCGATGGAAGAACTTAATTTAATTTAATCTAATTTGGGAACTGTACATTAATCTTGATCTAAGGAGACACGAAAGAAATGAACTGAGGTTTGAATTCTACTGAAATTGACTCACTTGACATTGGGGCATGCATCACAGACTTCTTTTTGTGTCATTTGGAATCTGCCTGGACCGAGCTGGACAGTCTGCATCTCTTGACGACAGTTACATTTCCTTGTACCAGGTGCTTCTGTTGCTACAGGCTTGTATCTTACAACCTTGAAAGATGAAACAAAGAGAGTATGTATATAGATATAGGTATATACATGTAACAGGCACCCCCGTGCCATTAATATTACACCATTGCTGGGTTTGAAACTAGCATCCTCAGAAAAGAGCATAAAAAAGACTTATTCATTACGTGAAGGACTCTATAAAAATTGGTAACATGTGCAACACAAAGACCAAATATTTTGGACTTATCCATAAAATTTATTTAGAGTGAAGTTTGTAGGTGATGTCATGCTGTCCACTTTGAGCTAACCATATCAATTGATAATAATTTATCTTTTCCTTTTAAATGTCAAGAGATCATAACCCTGCCTGTTACAAGAATGAAATACAAATGTCTAAAGTAAAAGTTTGTAGGTCAAGCCCGGCCACTTTGAGTTTACCTCAACAAAGTTTCCTGAGTAGAGTTCTTCCAAGGTCACATCAAGGTCAACTGTGATGTCATCACCCCTTGGTATATCCTGACCTCTCCTCTGTCCGCCATTACCACCAAAAGCAAAATTGAAGTCTCCAAAGAAACTGTGCATCAATAAATAATACAAAAAATAACATTTTAATTCTTTTAGAAATGCTCAAAAGCTTTATGGGAGAGATTTTTTTAAATAAGGAAAAAAATAAATGAATAAATAAAATAAAAAATTGCTGTACATAAAACTCCCAATATTGAGATAGCTGCAGGTTCTGCATATGGATGAAATACGAGTCACTTTTTTCTGACTTTGTTTTCATTTTCGTAAAAAGATCATGCAGCCTATGAAATTATTGAAAGCGAAATTTAAGTCTTCAAAGAAACTATACATCTGTAGAACAAGCAGTAACAGGTCAATGATTTATTAATTCTGTAAATATTTAAAATTTTGACAGTATTAATTCCTTGATTTTCAAAAACAGGAAAGGTGTGTAAATTTGGTCACATGTGATATTAATATGCTGTGCCAATACTTTTACAAGATGAAAGGTAAAGTTAAAAGTATTGAAGCAAAATGTCTGGCACCTTGTGTAAACCATAATATTCTCACAGGCAAAAATCAATTTTCCTAATAAAATATACAAAATCTTTTGTTTGTCTCAACATATCATTAAAGACTCAAATATTTAGGCAGTATTTGGTGTCCTTGTCAAGGAAATGGTGAACTTTCAAAAATTCCATACTGTGTGATGTATTTTCTGGTTTTCATCAAATTTAACTTATACTCTTCTTTAATTTGTCTGATTTAACTTGGAGCAACTAAATGTTTCTCTCACCTTGAGAATGGATCACCATGATGTCCATGACCCATATCCTTCAAACCTTCTTCACCTCGTGCATCATAGGTCTTCCTCTGATCCTCATCAGAGAGAACCTGCAAACAGCAAAAGCACAAATATAAGAGCAGGAATAAAGTGTAATATTCATTAGACATGCATGTGATCAACCATAGTTCAAGAACGCTACTAATAATAATACATTCTGACGGCAAAAAAAAAGAAGGAAAAAGAAAGAGGACATTCTTTATTGTTCAATATTTTCATATGAACCGTTGATAAAATATAATAAAATATATATAAAATTAAAGGAAAATTGTGGCTCTTCCAATATCAATTGAGATCAAGTTTTGAACTTTCATGCTTGAATGGAAACTTTCATTTAAGTGTTCAAAGATCTGATTATGAATATTGCCAAAAAAAATAGAGCAAGTAGCCATTCAATTGTTATTAAACATGTACATCTATGAGACATTATTGTTCCAACAATGAAAACAAAGAATGATAAATAATTATGAGGATTAAGCTCTGGATGCCAACAGTGGTCTCAGGAAAGCAGGGTTTTGACAAGCATGCTGAAGATGCCTCTCCTTTCTACCAAAGATCATGGACGAGTCATAGGATACCTCCAATGCTCATCAATATTTGAATGCGGGCCAAATGACACATTTTGCAATTTTCTTTCAGAAACTCATTTTTATTGTTAAATGGATATGCTCACACATGCGTGAATGGGAGGATTCTAATTGCATATCATCTCAAAGAAGTTCAATTTATTTTTTACTTTGATACATGAAGGATAAGGTAATATCAAATATTTATTTAAAAATCTTAAATATAAATACTGTTGACTTTCCTTTTTGACGAGTGTAGTTAAAGGAAACCTAACGCCAAACAATAAGTGTAGGCAAGCTGAGTGAAAAATTATATTCCTGCCTTTTATTCTTTACGAAAGTGTACAACATCATCATTTAATGCCCTATAGCAGGATATTGACGCAGCCATTTGCTTGATAACCTGACATACAAGGCGAACTTGTACGTGTATCATGCACCACGTATTGATGGAAAGACTATTTAATTCTAAAACAAAACCAAAAGTTATTCAGGAAGAAAAAAAGGTGGCAAGCTGACCATTTTCACCTTTCTACATTCTACAATTTTACATTCAGGAAATTCAGGAAACTTAGAAGAAATTATATCAATGCAAGGACAGATTTTTAAATTTGGTTTACATATTCTACTTATCTATTTTATTTTGTTTGCTATTCTTTTTCTTTTCAATTTCATACTTGAATAGTCTATAATTATTATCGCTATAAACATTTTATCTTTTTATTAACATTAACATTTTTTTTTTGGAGGAAGGCATCCTTGGGGTCAGGATCCCCCTTAATTTGCTTGTTAGATCATTTTGGAATTTCACATCCAGATGATAATTAATTTTGCTCTTGATTAGAAGGGCCAAGTCAACCAAAGTAACCTACCTCATAAGCAGCACCAAGATCCTGAAATTTCTCACTAGCTTCCGGATCATCTATATTTTTATCAGGATGATATTGCATGGCTAGTTTCCTGTATGCCTTCTTGATTTGGTTAGTAGTCGCATCTCGAGGAACTCCCAGGATTTTGTAAAAGTCTCTCCTGCAAACAATATCAATTTTTTTACAAATCTGTTGTTTTCTCTGTCAAAATTGGTATTGTCACATGGACCAACTATAAAAAAAAAACTGTTAGAATAAAACAATACCACTACCAGTCACTGGAGAGTTTTGCCACTGCAGTCACAATGATGCTTGGATAGCATGATGTATCAAAGTCTTACAAAGACGTCAACGCTTCGCCTCCCCTACCCCTCTTGCAGTAATATACTATAACTATACTATAGACAAACTCTCAGTAGAGGCACACATCCAATACGGGAGACTATTTCCTATTTAGGAGACCGTCTCTAAACAGTAGGGGCGGTGGTCCGAGAATAAGGATCGTCTTCATAAACAAGGATCGTCTTCGTAAACACAGACCGATGCGTCCTCAAAAATAAGGACCGTCTGCATTTTTGCAGACGTTTCACATTTTTGATCGGCACATTGGCGATGCAAAAAAGGATTCTGCAATGATTTTCTTGATGCATTTTACATTGACATTGTACAGAGACATTCACATTTTAAGCAATAAATCCTTGGGAAGACGCACAACCCATAAAAGTAGACAGTGAACTAGGGTTATTTTCCCCCGGGGAATCCATTTTTGGCAACGCCAGCGGACGGTTCTGTAACATGAAACCCCCAGAGCGCCAATGAAAAAAAACGTCCTTGAAAATGCAGACAACCCTTATTTTTGAGGACGCATTTTGTCCTCGTTTATGAGGATATCCTTGTTTATGAGGACGATCCTCATTCTCAGACCAGTGCCCCTACTGCTAAATATCGCCTTTATTATATCAGAGACTTTCGTTACGATTTTTGCTAGTATTCAGAGACGCTAAGTTCAAAGATCCGCAATGCGTGACATTTTCATGATTCGGCGCGCGTATGAGAGTATAACAAACGTATAAGGTATAGCATTTTTAAAAAATCTAGCGCGCACGTCGTGCGTGAGAGCGTTTTCAGACCCTCGAAATGCATGATGTCACGCCTAATGCGTGACACTTGGTAGGGTCTAGCTCTGAGTATTTGGGAGACAGTCTCCCACTTGAGATACCAATTTCCTTTTATTTACATTTGCGGCAAATCAATTACCTTGGCCGATTTGCCGCAAATGTAAATAAAAGGAAACTATCTCCCAAATACCGTCTCCCAAATTGAGCCAAGCTTGGCTCAAATAAAAATACCGGTAATGAAAAAGTACGCCCTTCTTTCAGATTTTTGGACCATCTACTTTAAGAATTAATCAAATTTGTTTTCATATCCTTCATTTCATTTCATTAATCAATGTACTTGTAGACGTCAAACGGAACGAGGACACAGCATAGCTCACTCAACATGCTCAACAGCGGAAATCATTCACGCCATGCATCGCGCCAAGCAAAGTAGACACTACTCACTAGCATACATACAGAATTGTCAACGTGTGGGACCGCGGAGGCTTCATTTAGCACTTGTCTTGCCCTTTTAACACTTTTCTAACATATCATTTTCTAAATTTGTCAATAAAATTGAATAATAGTTACCCTGCTAATACAGTCAAAGACAACTGGAGGAGAAGTAAGCATACGTTCCATGTGTAAATAGCCATGTTGTTGCCATGTGAAGATACCGGTCACTCAGATATTATCTCAGCTCACTTTGGCAGTAGATACACGCAGCCGCTTCTCATTCGCCGGTGAATGAAAGAACATCTGCGCGCGCATCTTGTACCTCCTCTCGCGTGACTGCAGTCTTGACTCTTGTGTACACTTTGAAGCTGATGGTTGTCTTCAAAATATTGCTATCATGGGGTTAACAGCTCGTAATATCATTACCTACATCATTCTTGCTGTAGTGATTGACCAAGTGGCCCGGATAATGTGAGTTTCGTTTCTTCTTTTGTCTTTTTGATACTGGTATGTGCGCTGTTAAATGCTTGAAAGTTTTCCGCTGGTAAACCCCGCAGTTTCCCTGACCGATCAAGCTGATGCGTACTTGACGGGGCAGGTCCGGGGAAGAAATCTATACGATGTACCCATTCTCAAGTAGACACGCCCCTTTTAGTTTTACAATCATGCATGTGGCAACATACATAGGCCTACTGTATAATTATACAGACTAGTTCAAGTATCATACCGTAAAGTTTGTTGCATTTCTGATTAATGGAACTTAATACGTGTATATAAGAATATATTGTGATAGATAGGCAGATGTATTAACGTATTTTATTATTATTTGGAAAAGGGGATGATTCTGATGGAAATGAAGAGCTGATGAAGCAAACTATCTTGACTTAATTGTTCTGATAACTTTTTGTTCAATGTGTTTTTCAAAAACAGATATAGTCTGGGATTGCATAAGACTATTTTCACACATCATCCTGGGATCTGCAGAGCACTACCAGGCATTGGTAAATAGATTCATGAAGCTTTCTTTAAATCATCTTCTTCTTTTACTATATCACATTTCAACAGTATCACCTGTGAAATAAATGACATTTAATGAAGTTATGGAATTGATTTCTCATAGATTGTTTGACAATAGGTTTTGATATGATTGACTTTAGATTATTCAATTGAATAACTTTCCGCCAACACTATACTGTGTGATGAAGACATACAGATCAGTGCAAAGAGTTTAAAAGCTTTCTTGTTTTCCAGTATGCAAAAGGCATGAATGAATAATCACTACAGGTATCTTATTTTTCTGCTTTTCATTTAATGTTGTAATTAGTATTTTATTCTAATTTGTTTATACCATAAAGAAAATGGCTCTGAGGATATTGTGACTTCCTCCAATGGACTTGCATTTATATCATCTGTAAGTAAATATGAAGAACATAAGTATATTATTTTGATTATTATTATAATTACTATCATTACAATCATTATTGGGCTATACTTGCAAACTTATGATTATGGTTCTTAAAACTAGAAGGAGATGGTCATAGACCAATATAAGTGGACAAAATTCATGGAAAAACAACCTCATTATTCCTGGATACAATTGAAAATTATATACAGCCTGTCTAGACAAAGAGCGATTTTAGAAAGCTAGATAATACAGAGGAGCAGGCACATACGCAGGATTTTTTCAAGGGGGGGGGGGGGGTTTTAACATTTATAAATCGGGCCAAAAATTTCGCAACGACTCAGCTGAATAAGCGGGGGTTGAGAGGACACTTTTTTTTCTTCTTTTTGGTTTCGAAATTTGAAAATTTAACATTTTGCTACGTGGGAGGGGGGTAAGGTCACCTTTTTTAGGTCAGCCATGGGAATTTTTTTTTTTTTTTTTTTTTTTTTTTTAATAAATAAAAAATACAAAAAAAAAATACAAAGGGGGGGGGGGGGGGGTTCACACAGAAAAATACCAAAGAGGGGTGTTTAACTCCCCAAACCCCCCCCCCCCCCCTGTGTACGTGCCTGCAGAGGAGTTTAAAGTTCAATTGATAAGTTATCTCTTTATCTAGGATTTTAGCTCAGAAAGATATCAGCGGAACTATTCTATTATTTGCATATGAGATATACATATATATGTGCATTATATATATATAGTGATATTAGACAGCTTGTACAGATACAAAGTCATGGTTGGTCCAAAACTTAATTAGCATATTTCACTCCCGGTCAATTTTATCAATGTTATATTGACCATTCGGTCAAATGAGTATATTTATGCGTCATACCATATCCAAGCAACCCTGCGCACATTAGCGCGTACCCATCGTTTGTATTTTCTTAGCCACGCGCATTTGACACAAAAGGCTGGACGTCTTGAGAAACAAATGAGGCTTGAGATCGCAATTATCCTTGTAGTTATATATCACAAAGTGTAATCAAGGCTACCTAATATAACAGATATTGCCTGGTAGTGGTAGGATGGGTATTATAACCTTTTTGGAGCACACAGGAGTTATATTTTCCCTCAATGCCGAGCCTCATGAAAATATAACCCCCTTATATATTACACACCCTACCAGTCAATACCTGTGTTATAATCATTATTGTCATTTTCTTTATTATAATCTTTCAGGTATATGTACACTTTTACACTTGCTAGATGGCAAGTAATATATTTGAAATTCCAGAGAAACCTACATTAGCCCTCACTTGTGTAGAATTGAAACGTGATCAGTAACCTGCATAAATAGGCCACCTGCCTAAAAAGTTTATTTTCTTATGTCCTTTGAGCTATAGTTTCGAGGCACAAACGCTTGGCTGTTGTAGCATGTAACAGATTATCAGCTGAACTTGAAGACTTTGAAGACTTCATGGTCTACTGCACTCCATAAGGACCCTGTACTATATACCTATAGCTTCTCTTGTTTGACAAAGCCAGAGATGGACTAAGTTATAGGTTTGCCTTGAGGTTCGTTTGGCATTCGATCCGATGTATAAGTGTCAAAGAAGAGTCTGTTTCTGTAGACTATCCTTGAACAGGTACACTAGGTTCATCTGTAATTAGTCAAAAGCTTGTGCCTATATATTACGAAAGTTTGATCAAAGTTGATATCTTTTCCAAACCAGGGTGCCCTGAAAATGTTGGAACCTGATCAAGGAATATTGGGTCAAGTCTTTCTCTTTGACTTCAACCATCCCGATTTGGACCCTATAAACATCCAAATCATTGGCATCGATAAAGCAGCCTGGATACCTATAGGAATGGACATCTGGGAGAGTGGACCAAAAGGTATTCTAGAAATATTATTTTCATGAAAAGTCCAACTCTTCACCGTCTTTAGTCCAGTAATAGAACAAAATGCGAACAGCCATAGTCAACTTTTGTCCCATATATATATATATATATATACAGAGTATATGGACCATATGCTCCAAACAGTGTCACCGCAATTCAGGGGTTTGATAGGGATGAAATGACAGGAAAGTTGATTTCTAAGCAACTAAAAAGAACAGAAAGAAAGAAAGTATAAAACTCTGTTTTAGTGAAGTTACGAAAGAAGGAGAGTCAATCAAGAAATAAGCAAGCAAAATAAGAGTTAATTTAGTATAAGATACATTTCTAGAAGTTTGCAGAGTGCAGACAAATTGTGTGACTGTATATCGTCGCCGTTTTCACGAACCGGCACAGCCCAACGCGCAACGAAATAAGTACATTCTGAGAAAAACGCGTTTTACGTTTAGCCCGTTTTGAATTCGCCAGAAACATGCCTTATGTCAAATTTTATATCACAAAATACATATCAATGAAAGGAAAATATTCTGTATTTTCTATACATTCCATTTGTTAAGCATAATGACAATTACTATTAATATTACGAAGCTTTGGACTCTCGTGCCGGTTCGTGAAAATATTATTTTGGTGTTTACGTAGCAAAAATATTTTCACGAACCGGCACAAGCCACTGTGTCGTTTTTCCTATGTAACTTTACGCGCAAGACAAAAGCGCTCGCGCTGTCTTAGCGCGTATTTTATTTTCACGAACCGGCACAACCGCCTGTGTCGCGTCGTCTAGGTCTTGTAAGCCCAAAGATATTTTCACGAACCGGCACAGCCCATTGACTTATAACGGCGCGTGCCGGTTCGTGAAAATATGAATCGTGCTTTTTGGCTCGTGTGTCGTTTTTGTCATTTGTGTAACCATGGATATCTCAAAAACTAAAGCGTTTTGGATGCTGAAATTTGGTGAGATGAAAGATTGTTGATAACTTATGCTAAAAATGCAAAAAAAATAAAAACTACATTTTGAAGGGATTTCGGTGGCTTGTGCCGGTTCGTGAAAACGGCGACGATATGTTGACTGTATTGCAAACTGGAAACTTGTTTTCTCTGTAATTGATGTTATAATATCTATGTGAACATATTAATATTTATTAAGGCTATTGAAAATCATGAATGTTATAGATTTGTGTATATTACATATGGGACACTAATTGACCCAAAATCTTGGACTTGTGCTCATATAGTAAGTTGTGAAATTTGTGTCATTATCACTCTCTTTAGATAATCCCAAACTGTCCCTTTATGTCGTGAACAAGCAGCCAGACAGTATAGGGATTGAAGTATTTGACTTTTCATACAAGAACAAGGTTCCTACCTTGACACATCAAAGAAGAATACATCACAAGAACATTTGGAGGTGGGTATATTTTATATTCTTCAACGCCATTCATGAAAAATATTTGTTAGATTGAGAACAAGAACACATTCATCACAAAATTAGGTTTTTAAGCTGGGTAATTCATAAAATCATTATTATTATTATCATCATTATTGTTATTATTATTGCTGTTGTTGAAAAATGAATTGTCACTTTATTGCCCTGTCTTATGTTTACAAGTTGGACACTGGTTCGACTCGTGCAAGAAAAATCATTCATGCAAATTTTTAGATACATGTTAAGCTGACTGTCATTTAAAATGCTGTAATCTACTTTTAAGCAATAGACTGAAGCACATATGTAGCAGGTAATTGAAATTGGCTTTCTCACAGAAATTTGAGGCATTTATAGTAGTTTTCAGAGCCACTTTTCATATTTTGAGGGAGGGGGAACAGACAACAAAGGAAATGTTTTGATCAATTTAGCAATTTATCTTGAATGATATAAATATATCTAACATTTCAATTTTAATGTTTTTTGTGCTCTCAAGGTCTGATACCCGAGTAAGTTGTGTCTAAGTTTTTTCTTAATTTTTACCAATACATCAGCACAATACTCCTAATTCATCTAATTATCATTCACCACAGGTCAGAACTTTGATTTCCCATAGTTTAATATTGTTTAACAATCTCCCTCCTGCACTGTTAATCAGCCTATCACTTAATTCATTTAAACCCTGTTATAAATCCCATATGCTAAGTTGGTATCTATAATGTTAAATGTAATATATTGCATATTTGTTTCCTTACTTTATTTGTTTGTTGGTTTGTTATAATTATATATGTATCATTAATTTGGGGGTTATACTATAAGGCTATTTACTCTGTTTTGTTAACCCCTCTTTCTCATAATTTTGTTTTTGTCTAATTGGTTCGTATTGTTTTTTATTGATGATCGATACTCTGTTATATATGTTATGTATGTTGTTTGAAATAAGTTTGAAATAAATCAGGCCTATATTAAGAAAGTTATGAATAAATTAATTATGAAATCACTTCATCCATGCGAATCTCAAACTGGCAATTTGGTCAGTGGATTGTGGCTCTCCGACAAATAACTCTCCTGTTTGTTGTGTACAAAAATTTTACTCTTTTTCTCTTAAGTGCCTTCACTCTTGGGGAGCTACTCAAAATTATAGAGTACATTATTACAGGCTCTCTAGAAGAAAAAGACCATCCCAAATCATACATATTCAAAAAAATTACATTTTAGTCATTTGTGTGTTGGAACAAATGGGAAAGTTGACCAGCACCACATCACATTGACCTTTTAGCCAATTGAAGTGTGAATTACAACTTTCAAAAATTCATAAATTTCTTCTTTTTTTGTTCAAACTTTAACCAGTCTGCTTCTTTGATTTTCCTGCTTTCTTTTAGAGTTGCTTGCTATTAGGGTTGGATTTCCCTTGCAGTCAGTCTGGGAAAAAAAGGGCAAAAAGAATGCTATAGTTTACCATGTCATACATGAACAAGGGTAAACGGACATTGCATAAATTGTTGACAGAATCATATAGAATATGAATACGTATCCTGTTATGCCTTGTTCCACACAGTCCCAATGATGTTGTTTTGGTGGATGAAAATCGTTTCTACACAACAAACGATGCATATCTTCCCCAACCTTTCAACATTCTAGAGGTCGTATTTCGGCTTAGCTCCGGCAGTGTGGCATACTATGATGGACATGATGCTAGGATCGTTGCCAAAGGACTGAAGCTGTCTAATGGTGTAAACCTCTCTCCTAACAAAAAGTAAACCAATCCACCACTTGATGTCATATATCTTGGATATTAAATATAAGCCTCTGGCTAACATCTTTCAGAAATAATTATTGATTTGATCTTAGACAGATTAGGAATACTAATTTACCAATCAGACAAACAGGAAAGGCAATGTTTTATGCCTCTATATTGCATGAATGATTTGATCTCATTATATTGGCAGGATATTCCTCTTGCTTGATGGTGTAATGCTCTCTTTCATAATAATGAAGGTCTCTTTTGTAGACGATATATCAGATGGTACTACTTGGATTGTAGATGTTTAGAAAGTGATTTTCATTATTGTATCAGGGAGATGAAACTCACATCTCCCTGATTGTATACACTGTACCTGAGAAGAAATACGAGATTTAGCTGTTCTATGATATGATACAGAGTCTTGCAAAATTTATCAGAAATATCACATAAGGGTTATCATGCTAACAATTAATCCATTTTTATCTGTTTGTATCATTTTTGTTCTCTTCGTTTTGTGATTGTTTGTGATTGTATAGGTTATTGTATGCAGCTTCATCCCTTGGACAAGAGCTGTTCATCTACAGAGTCCAGAGTGATGGGAGTTTGGAACAGGCAAAGGTGAGATATCAATATGGTTACACTGAAGATTGCTCTTATTATGTTCAGTGTCTGAATGTGTGTGAGTAATATAATGGTTACAAGATCTTACCTTTAATCGTTGATAATAGAATTAAGCTTGATGTTCATGATTTTCATTTCCATCCAGCCCAATTCATTATGATGATGATAATAATGAGAATGCAATGCACTTATATTGCACCTATGTTTAGCAAACTACATTTTAGAACAAGAAAAAGCAAGAAGAAAGAAATACAACAGACTGTAGTAGGACACTACAAATTTGTGTTGTATCACATTTAGGAGGGGGAGTTGGGGGATCGACCAAAAAATAATCTATTTCATTCAGCACTTTCCATTGGCCCTGATTAATGATTAGAATGTTAGTGATATACATGTATGTTATCCCAATAATTATATGGACATGTTAAAGAGGAACCACCTCTGGTGAAGTATTAATTAACCCATTCCCTGTGGGACCTGGGTGACTCCTGCATGAAAGCCTATAGGAATGAGATAATTCAGTAGTCAAAGGATTAATACATGTAGTTCACAGTCTAGTTCAAAGCAATCTATTTCAGTCGTATCTCACTGTAATTATCCTTCTACAGGTCATTCCCCTTGCAACCATTCCTGACAACATTGATGTTGATAAGGATGACGGGTCTCTATGGATTGGCTGTGGTTTCGCGACGCATCACTTCTTTAACCAATGTGGAAAAGTCACTGGAGTTGGGCAGGTGAATCTATTTTCATGACATGGGCGTGCTTGTACTGTAAAACAAGAAATTCTCCTGACTTGTAAAGGACCGCCATTTAATGGCAAAGAATATATATATTTTCATTTGAAAGAAAGACGCATAAATATCTTATCTTATCATAGTAAATATGAAAATGCCAATGTGATTTTTTTTTTCATTGTAAAATTGGACAAAACTTTCCATTAATTACAAATGATATCTGAATTTTGGTTAATCTAGAAATTATTTAAACATTATCCCTAAATAAAATATAAACTTTAATTCCCCCCCCCCCCCACATGAGGCATACATTTACAGCATTAGAATTAAAGATTCTAGCTGTTTTTCATTGATGATGTGATTGTGATCCAAATATCTCCATTATGACCGGACTTCCCAATGTTAGGATATTTGTTTTATTCATTAATAAAACATGAGCTTCATATTGCTACTCTCTTCTAATTATCGCCTTACAGGTTTTGAATATTCAACTTGACAAGGAACTGAATCCAACAATCAGAGAAGTCTTTGCAGACGATACAGGAATGATAAGACTCAGCAGTGTAGCATGTCGCTATGGAAACGCCATGCTCATCGGGACAGTGGTTGACAAGGCTGCCTACTGTGAAGGGATTACGTACTGATGACATATCAAGCAATGTTTTGAAGGGGAAGTCCACCCTAATATTAAGTTTGGTTTGATAGAAGCAGAACAATGGGAGGAAAAGGTCAGTGAAAGTTTGAGCAAATCACAAATTGGCAACTCTGTGAGGTATCTTGCGAGGTCCCCTCCCATTTGCAAATTTCTGGTTATATATGCACCCTAAATATAATTATTGCAAATATGTTTTTAAACAACTCATCATGTATGAAACAAATTTAATCTGCTATCAAAAAATATGAAAAATGAAAGTTTATGAAATTTTCTGTACAGAGCAAATTGGAGAGGACCTTGCAATATACGTCAGTGTTGCTAATTTGTGTTTCACTGATGACAATTTCAAAATGTTTTTTTGTTTTTCTGCTATTGTTAATACCAGCTAATTATCAAGGTTGACTTCCCCTTTAGCATCAGAGTCACATTCGTAATTGATAGTGTAGAAATATATCTCTGGAAATAAAACTAGTTACTAAAGTTTGCCAAAGTTGAATGATAAGAAATGACTATTTTAACCAAAAAAAGGATAATTTTGCTCTGAAATATATCCATGAACTGGATATTTTGTCAAATATTAACCGCCGGTCTGTGCTCTTTGGTACAGTGTCACTTGTTATAACGAACTCTGATGTAACCACATACCAGTCATAACAAGATCGGTCCCTGCTCTTCATAATCCTTTGGTTTTTATCCTGATATAACAAGGTAAATTTAACTGTCCTAATGTCCTTTTTATAAGAACTTTCCACTGTATACATGCATGCTATGTATGTACCAAAACTTAAAGTTTTTTTTTTTAAAAGGCCCAAATAAAAAAGTAAGGGCCCAAGGTTGTGCAAATAGTCTATATATCTCCTAATAAATGAAATTAAAATGTTAGACAGGTATATGACATCATAAGACACTTACAATGCAAAAGTGACTTGATATATATACAGATGTCAGGTAGAAACAGGGTCAATCATAGGTGTTATTACCACTGTATGCCAATGTACTATGCATAAGAAATGATAGTTTAACAAATTTAAAATGTTTGATATAAGTATGTAATTTATTGTCCATAAAAAGGAAATTTGTTTTCCACTGGTAAGTACAAGTAATACAATATTAACATTTACATAATCTGAGAGGTAGTAGTAATGATAAAAAGAAAAGGACATTTGCATAATCAAAGGTATTGGAAGGGAAACAATAGATAAGAATATTACCTGAGATTTCATTTATACAGAGTTATATCATAGTATAGTATTAATGACTGCTTTGAGAGAAATAGTTGTTTTTATACGCTCAAGGGAAGGTTAGAATTGTGCTATTGCCCCGAGGCGTGACGAGGGCAATAGCCCAATTGTAACCTTCCCGAGAGCGTATAAAAACAACTCTTTCTCGAATATTAAAGCAGTCATTAATACTTTTATATGCCAAAAAAATAAAAAATAAAAAACAAAAAATAAAAAATTAAAAAAAATTTTGTTGCAGAAGGTGATGTAACTAAAATCACCGCCTTAAACCGCTCGGCCATCGCGCTCTGTTACCTTATCGAGCAGTTTTCTCTAATATATAGATTAAAATGGATTGAAAACGGCTTCGTGTGGTGGATGCTTCGCGGCTGCTCCATTAAACGGGCCCTTCTTTTACTTTTGCAATGCATATTGGCACGAACTTAGATCAAGATCTATCGGCAGATGTTGTTTTAGCTTAATGGAAGTTTATTTTCGTCTTCATGTCAACAATGCAAGATAAAAATTGTCAGTAAGATCGATCGAGATTCAATTGTATTGAAATTACCGACCAATTCTTCGCACACGTACGGTATCCTCGATCGCTCAGACCATCTTTTAACATGTAAACCTATGGGGTAACCATGGAGACTGAACTATTTTCCCAGTAACCATGGTTACTGGGAATTTTACAGAAATAGTTAAAGTTTATGAATGCAATTTCGACCAATCAGATGGCTGGATTTCTTAAGTGAGGTATATAATTCTTACCATGAATTCCATCAAAAACAAAATATACTATTAATTATTATTAATATTATATCCTGCATCAAAAATTTGTTGGCTTCTGATTGGTTGAGAGCTCGTCACATGACCAAAAATATTTGAGCTATTTTTAGAAAGTACTATACGAGAGTACCATTTTGGTTTACTATTTGGGAGTTGAAGAAAAAAATGTGAATTTTCTTTTTAATTGAATCAATTTTTTTTTTCAAATCTTAATTTAATGAAAACAAAATATTTTAAATCTTTTTAGATAAAAATTGACATTTTTTTGTTCTAAATTTTTTTTTCCCAAAAATTTTTTTTTTTTTTTTTTTTTTAAATAAATTTTTGATGCAGGATATAAAACAAATATACCATGCCTTCTATTCGAGGTACTGGTTAAACTATGGGCCTCGGTGACTCCAAAAGTACCATAGTACTATTGGAGTCACCTCTTGCGCATAGTTTTAACCAGAACCTCTCAAGGCAGTGTATATTTGTATACTATTATTGCAATGACGACCTTCGTCATTGCCTTGTTTTCGTTCACATTCTGCCCCATTAATATTCTCCTTTTCCTCCTTATCGTCCAGAAACCCCATTCGTTTTGCACGTAGTGTTTGTCATTCCTAGTTAGGTGCTTTCCTCATGTCCTTTTCCTTTCAAATTTCATAGGCATAGTCTCTAACATCTCATGAAGGTCACTACATTCTTCGATTTTCGAAATCACTCATGCATAACCGCCCAGGCGCCATTTTGTCCGTTTCTGGTCCATTTTAAGGCCTTTCTTTCTTCCTTCCCATCTCCACTATCCTAGATCCTACAGACTTCTAACAAATTCCTCTAGATAGTCTGAGAGATGTTCTTTTATCTACGACGTATGACTTGCCCTTCAAAATGCCATCTTCGTACTCAAAATTCAAATCTGAAACCGACTCTGTCAACAATCTCTCAAATTCTTGAAAAATTGACCTCTAAATAATCTAAAACTGCCATAACTTTCTCATATAAATTCCGTTTTGTATTTAAATCTGACAGTATCTTTATCTCATAATTGCACATAGCCGTGCCTAATTTCACGCTCCAATGGTTCTGCAAAACATAAATAGCGCCCTCTAAAGTTCTGGGAATTGGCTTTCTTTCTGTGGCCGTATCTCCATAATGGCTTGGCAAACCCGTACCCTTTTTAGGATTTAGATACTTGAAGATATGCCCTTTCCAGCCATATACAAAATTATATACCCTAACACTGACCAAATTTGAGAAAAATGCCCTCCAAATTCGCCATTTTCAAGAAAATTCCAAAATAACTTCAACTTGCTCTAAATTGGCGATCTTTATACCTACATCCATGAAACTTGGCACACATATGTATCCATATACGTGACAACTGTCTGCCAAGTTTAGTAATATTCAAATATGTCAGCGCAAAGTTATCGCTAAAAATGATGAATTTACTATGCATTACGTAATAGCGTGTTAAATGCGTGCAATACATTGCGCGCAGATAACAATGGTGTCAAACTGACCGCAATGAAGTGCCCTTTCGAATGATACCAAGTATAGTATATGTTCACACAGAAAATTGTGAGTAAATCGCATTTGAACAAAGGTCACTACACGAATTCCGCCGAGTTTCCGCCCGAATCTAACACGTATTGGTATGACGTAATTTTTCAGACTGCTTTTCGCCACTTAAACGTCCTTCTTTTTCCTTGAAAATTTGCAGTGACATGCCGAGTTCCAATACGCAGGGCACCTCATGGCCGGATTTTTAAAATTGGTCAAGGGGGCCATTTAGGACGCCATTTTGTCCTATAAATCTATTTACATCACGTGTTTCGATAGGATTATCATAGAAAAAAAGAGAGTGGTTTACAATAACAACCATGAAATTCTCTTTCTAATGATACCAAATACGGCCCATAAAGAGACATAAAGAGACATAAAGTGGGAGAGAAAAAAAAATTAACTCCGGTCATAATACAGATCCTGTACGTTTTTCGCTCATGCATTACACGCATTGTCTATGGGGCATATCGGGTTCACGCTTTTGACCCCCAGAACGATCTTTATTGCAATGACGAACATGCACCAAATCCCCTTGGTTTTTGCACGCAGTGCTTGCCAGCCCTTGCCACGTCCTTTCCCATATCCCAATTTCTTTCAAACTTCGTAGGCATAGTCACTACCGTCCCATCAAGGTCACTGTTGAGGCCTTTCTTTCGCCCTACCTATCTCCAATATCACAGAAGCTACAGACTTCGTTTAAATTGCTCTGGATAGGGCGAGAGAAGCTCTTTCGTTTGACACGTAGAAACATGGCGTCATTGCACGCACATCGTTGGGACACGATTGCATTTCTAGTTATCATTATTATTATTATTACTATTAGTTACTCACTTACTGCTTGGTATTACTCATCCAACAGTATTTATCACAATATTACGTGCAATGCATTGATCCAATATGAAGGGATATGTGAAAGAATCACTCTGTGGTAGCTAGTTATTAGTCAAGATTAGCCTGTCTTTTTACTGTTTCAAGAGTGTTTTTTAGGGGGAAGGGAGGGGATAAATCCCCCTCTCCTCCCTCAAATTTTAGATCTTTTGCACAAACAAAGATTTTATTGATGGTGTTTCGTAATTAAAGATGGATATAACTGGGATTTTTAATCAAGTTACATATGCAATTATCTCCATCAAATAAAAGTATGAATGAAAATATTTGATTTGTTTTTATATACTTGAAATACGTACATTTAACTCTTAAATATTGTCTTTCAGTAATTTTTTACAGCAAAAGGTATTCAACCATAATACCTCAAAATCATTCTGCTCACTAATAATGATACTGGTTTCTTATATACCTCTTTACCATTAACTGACCGAACTGCTTACAGTATTACTATTATTATTACCCTGCATGGTCACTGGATTAAATTACTATTCTGCACATGAGGGTACCCCTTCTCCACCCCCTGAGGAACATTCCAGCTAGTCGCCTGTTTACGTGTGCACACATGCTAATCCAACCACAATGACGCTTGTATCCTACCGGATACCCAATTAACACCTGGGTGGAGAGGAGCAATGTAGATAAAATGCCTTGCTCA